GAGATCCAGTAGAAAGGGTCCTTTCTGGTCTTGTAGGTGTGCGAATATTCACGGATCCAGTTGCCAGTCGCTGGCATCCCTCCAATGACGGGAATACCAATCCGCCGTGAGGTTCGTCTCCCCCGGCAGGTGTTCTGTCCGTAGTGTGATATTGCGCGGGAGGCAGTAGTCGAAGATTTCCTTCGTCAGATGCACCAGGGTTCTCGACCGGGTGCCCCCCAAGCGGTTGATGTATCGTACCGCGGATACATTGTCCATTCTTAACAGTATACAGCAATTGGACTGCCCTTTTGTGAGGCTGCGGATAGCAAAGGAGCCCGCTAGGAGTTCGAGGCAATTGATATGCATCGATAATTCCTGTGGTGTCCACGTGCCCCCGTGGACGTTTCTCCATCCGTGGTGCCCCATCCTAGGTGACTCGCGTCCGACTCCAGGATGAAGTCCGGTTGACTGCCGAAGATGGCCCGACCATTCCAGGCCTGCATGCAGTGGAGCCACCACTGAAGTTCTTGGTATACTTCTTCCGACAGCGGGACCGGTTGGTTGTATGTGGGGTTTTGGCGGAGGAGGCTGGCCTTCAGCCGTTGCATCGCTCGGTAGTGAAGGGGTCCCGGAAATATGGCTTGTATTGAAGATGATAAGAGTCCGACAATCCGCGCCAGTTGACGGAGCGGAATGGAATCCAATTTGAGAACCCTGCGGATCTCCTTCTTGATGGCCGTCACTTTGGCTGAGGGGAGATGCAGGGTGCAAGACCTGGAGTCGATCTCGAAGCCCAGGAATTGGATTCGTTGAGCAGGCGTCATTGCGGATTTGGCCTTGTTGACCACGAAGCCCAAGGATTCTAACAGTCGTACTGTATACGTAGTGTGCCGGATGGCCAGTTCCCTTGTTCTGCAGAACAAGAGAATGTCTTCCAGATAAATTATGCATCTGATCCCGCGTGTTCGGAGGTGGGATACCACCGGTTTTAGCATTTTTGTGAAGCACCATGGTGCTGAGCTCAGTCCGAACGGAAGGCACGTGAATTGCCATGGCGTGCCGTTCCAGAGGAAGCGGAGAAATGGACGGCTGTCCGTGTGGATTGGAATTGTCAGATAAGCATCTTTGAGGTCTAGCCGCGTAAACCAATCCCTTTCTTGGAGGAGATCCCGCAATAAATGGATGCCCTCCATTTTGAAGTGGCGGTAGGTCACGAACGTGTTTAGTCCTCTCAAATTGATCACTGGCCGGAAGTCCCCGGTCTTCTTGCGGACGAGGAACATGTTGCTGAAGAATCCTCCCCTTGTGTGCGCCGGTTCTATAGCGCCCTTTATGCGAAGCTCGCGGAGTTCCCCCTTTATGAGGCGATTGTCCGCAGCCGAAAGACGCAAAGGATAAGGGGGGAACCTTTGAATGGGCTGTGATCGGAGTTCTATTCGATATCCTTGGACGGTCTGTAGCACCCAAGCGTCCATGGACAGTTGTGCCCAATTCTGGGAAAAAAGTGAAACACGGCCTGCAATCACAGTTATATGAGGTACCGAACAAAGGTGGTCTCTTTCCTGTAGGGAAGCGTGCACGGCCTTGTCCTCGACCGCCCCGTCCTCTGTCAGAACCCCTTTGGTAGTAGGGGAATGGTTGCTTGGCTCCGTTGCCCTGGTAACCTTGTTGAGGGAAGAATTGGTGTTGGAAGCCCATACGGGGGCCTGAAGGCCAGAAACGGCTTGCGGCACGGCCCCGCTGCCGACCAGCCCTTGAAAAAACACCCTTTGCGGAGGTACCTCGGAAGACCTTAAGCATGGACGTGCGGGCCCTATTCAAGGAGGTAAAGACGTTTACGTGCTTATTCAGTTCCTTCATAAAAGCTTCACCAAAGAGCTTGCCCTGTGCCTGTGGGCCCAATTCTTTGACCCCGAGGTCAACTAATTTGGGGTCGATACGAAAAAGTGCTGCTCGGCGCCGCTTCATAGAGAGGGCCGCATTTGTATTACCGAGGAAACAAAAGCCCCTCTGGGCCCACTCTCGGATATCATGTGCCCATTCTCGTACCATGTCTGCCGTGAAGGAGTCCGCTCTGGCGTATGCTTCGTCCGCCAGGTACATAACGCGGGCCAAAGGGCCCATTGTGTCTAGGAGTTAATCCTGAGCTCCTTTAAAACTCTTCTAAATCCCCCTCCGTGGGTCGCGGCCCCCTTGTTCCATAAAGGTCAGCATAAGCTGATCAAATTCCAGCGTATAGGCCACTTTATATGGCAGGGTAGGTCTCGGGCACTCTGCCCGCATCCTCTTATGGATATGTTTTTCCAAAGGTTTTCTGATCCAAAAATGCATGAAGCAGAGGAGATGATCAGGTGGGGCCCACTCACCCGAGCGGGGGTGGCGAATCTTCCTGGGATCAAACATTCTCTGGCCAGGAATTTCTCCTGCTCCTGTGTGGCCATGGCGGGGGGTTCCGCATCTCCTTTTTGCTGGGGCTCACCCAGAAATGTCTCAGTGACGTAGGCGTTGGGGCCCCAACCGCCTTCGTCAGAGTCGGAGGTTTCAGCCTGCCACTCATCCAGAATGGAGAGAGAGTGGGTCACGTCATGCTCCTCATCCGAGGAGGCCTCCCCAGCGTACACGGGAGGTATCTGATTAGTGCGTTTATTGCGCTTCATAGGGGCCTTGCCTTTGAAGGCGGCTCTCTTGGAACCTTCGCCCTTCCAGTGGCGCTTCGCCGGGCGCTTCTTTTCTCTAGTGGAGTCATCCAACTCTGAGTCTTCGTGAGCCTGGTGTGGCTTGTTAGACAGCGCGTTAGATTCAGCGGGGGCAGGAGCCGCTTTTGCTAACGCCTTCTCCAAAGACGCAGCTACCGCCGCGTTGATCATTGCTTGAAGGTCACTGGTATTAATTGTGTCCTCCATGGTGTGGGCACTAACAGGCACAGGTATAGCTATGAGAGGTGAGGGACCGTACGGGAGGGACTCAGGTTAAATAACGCTCAGTGGCGTGGTACTGGACTTCTAGTCGCTGGGGCTCACCGAGGTTCACAGGGAACTGCTTTAACAGTTCCCGCTATGCAGCACTCAATGGGGGCTCACCCCTAGCCAGGATATTGGGCTAAACCCTACTGGCAGTCCCACTCCCCAGGGGCAATGACACCAACCTGTGAAGGTCCCAAACGAATTCCACCTCAGCAGTATTAATAATGAGCTTGTTAGAGCTAGAGCCTTCTCTTGATAGGTGTTGTACTCCACAAAACCGATTACCCACAAAATGGCCGCACGGGTCTCGCGAGACTATCGGGCACAAAGCCCGCGAAAATGGAGCCCTTTAAGCGTTCGGCAGTTTAGCCACAAACGGCCGTTCGCCTGGCTGAAACCGCCGAACGCTATGTGTGTAACAAAGCCGCGAACGGACTGAATTCCCTTTTTAGTAATTCGGGAAAACTGTCCGTTCGCGCAAATTTACTCGCTCGCGGCAAAACCCCGTGACCGGCTTGGGGGGTGCGAGCAGTTCCAGTCCGCCCGTTCGCGCCTTTGAAGCCGACAGCGCGAACGGGTCGGGCCGCGAATGCCCGGCGCCCTGTGAAACGAGGGTCCCATCTGTTCGCGCTACTAGAGCGCGAGCAGAGCGAAACGGCAGAAAAAAAAGGTGGCGAGCGTAGCCACCTGGTGGAATAAGGGAAAAGGAAGGGAGGGGGAGGTGGGGGGTGGGAGGTAGTCGGACAAAATTCCGTCGAGCAGGGAGAGGAGAGCGCTGGAAGAGATTGTCCCAATTAGAGAGCCTCAGCCCAGTACCCTGCCCCAAAGTGAGCACAGCTCCCCTGACAGGAGAGGGTAGTCCCACTCAGGTCCTCCCTGGCCCCCAATACACTAAAGCATACCAGCAAATAAAACAGTAAGAAAAGACAAAAACAAAAGCAAAACATACAGTCAATAACACCTTAAAGAAACCTGACAGGAATCTTAAAGAAATCAGTACTCTGACCTGACTTGTGATGGATCAGCAAAGAAAGAGGAAATGGTTGGCTACGCTGGGACTTATATATCCTCTGTTTTACTCTGATTGGTTCTTTCTTTAATGGTTTTTTTCTTTGCTGCTATGGAGCTAGTAAAGAAAGTTAATGCAAATACGAAGCCTCCTGTCATGTTATAAAATTATGGCTTACAGCTCATGAAACCCCCCAAACCACAATCACAGTAAATTAGAATATTGTGAAAAGGTGCAATTTTCTAGGCTCACAGTGTCCCACTCTAATCAGCTAAGTAAGCTATAACAACTGCAAAGGGTTTCTGAGCCTTTAAATGGTCTCTCAGTCTGGTTCAGTAGGAATCACGACCATGGGAAAGACTGCTGACCTGACAGTTGTGCAGAAAACCATCATTGACACCCTCCATAAGGAGGGAAAGCCTCAAAAGGTAATTGCGAAGGAAGTTGGATGTTCCCAAATTGCTGTATCAAAGCACATTAATATAAAGTTATGTGGAAGGGAAAAGTGTGGAAGAAAAAGGTGCACAAGCAGCAGGGATGACCGCAGACTGAAGAGGATTGTCAGGAAAAGGCCAATTTAAATGTGTTGGGGACTTTCACAAGGAGTGGACTGAGGCTGGAGTCAGTGCATCAATAGCCACCACATACAGACAGATCCTGGACATAGGCTTCAGATGTCATTTTCCTCTTGTCAAGCCGCTCCTGAACAACAAACAACGTCAGAAGCGTCTTACCTGGGTTAAAGAAAAACAGACCTGGTCTATTGCTTAGTGGTCCAAAGTCCTCTTTTCTGATGAGAGCAACTTTTGCATCTCATTTGGAAACCAAGTACCCAGAGTCTGGAGGAAGAATGGAGAGGCACACACTGCAAGATGCTTGAAGTCCAGTTTGAAGTTTCCACACTCTGTGTTGATTTGGGCAGCCATGTCATCTGCTGATGTTAGTCCACTGTGCTTCATTAAGTCCAGGGTCAATGCAGCCATCTACCAGGAGCTTTTGGAGCACTTCATGCTTCCTTTCGCAGACGAGCTTTATGGGGATGCTGACTTCATTTTCCAGCAGGATTTGGCACCTGCCCACACTGCCAAAAGCACCAAAGCCTGGTTCAATGACCGTGGGATTACTGTGCTTGATTGGCCAGCAAACTCGCCTGACCTGAACCCCATAGAGAATCTATGGGGCATTGCCAAGAGAAAGATGAGAGACATGAGACCGAACAATGCAGAAGAGCCGAAGGCCGCTATTGAAGCATCCTGGTCTTCCATAACACCCCAGCAGTGCCACAGGCTGATAGAGTCCATGCCACACCGCATTAAGGCAGTAATTGCAGCAAAAGGGGCCCAAACCAAGTACTGAGTCCATATACATGCTTATACTTTTCAGAGGTCCGATATTGTTCCAAGTACACTCCTTGTTTTATTGATTGCATATAATATTCTAATTTACTGAGATTGTGGATTTGGGGTTTTCATGAGCTGTAAACCATAATCATCGCACTTATGACAAATCACGGCTTGAACTATCTTGCTTTGCATGTAATGCGTCTATCTCATATATTAGTTTCCCCTTTTACATTGCATTACTGAAATAAATTAACTTTTGCACGATATTCAAATTTTTCGAGTATCACCTGTATATTCATGTTTAGAATACAAAATCCACCACACTCGCTTATTCACTAAACAGCAATTTCAGATCTCACAGAATGTAATTGTTTTATTTAAAAACACATCACCTAGGCAAAAAATAATAAAAAAATAATGTTACATTATTTGATGATATATTGCATAAGCCTGCCACAATGTCAATGTACCCCATTCTTGTCAGAACCTACTCTAGCAGCCTAATGAGATGAATCCACTTACTTGGGAAATACTTCCTCCTGGGACTCTCTGCAGGTCAAGGCTAAATAGGATCCTGGAATGAGGCACCTGTTACATGGAGGGGTGCAAAACCAAGGAGTTGGCCTGGACTCCCAAATATATAATAATGCCAAGAGGGCTGCACTCACCTGAACATGCCTACATTATAGGGTTCTGCTGGGGCCAATATATACAAGAAACAGAATCCAGCACGCTCGCTTATTATATATTTAAGGCAGGGTCTGTAGTTGTGGGAGGGGCTTGGCTCCCCCTTATAAGGGCCTCCAATGCTCTCTCACATACCGTTATTGGTCTGGTGAGTTAGGTGTGGCTACTTCCGGTGATATGCAAGTCATTATTTTCAAACTTACCTCCGTATCGTGGCTGCTACCTGGTGTAATGATCTTACCTTGATTGGGAGTCAACACGCAGAGTTTAAAGCACCCTTTGCAACTGTACACCAGCCAAGGGGACTCAAGGCAGAAATCCCCAAGGCAGTGAAACAGTGCACTGGGGCTGATAATAACCAGTGTTTCCAGGAACGAGGTACAGGCAAGGAATATCCAATGGTGTAGTCAGGGACGGAATCAATAGTCAGGACAGGCGGCAATCAGGCATAAACGAAGGACGAGCAGAGGATCAAGAACCAGGAGTCAGATTAACAGCAGAAACACCAAACAGGAACAAAACGATCTGACAATGTGCAATAACCTCTAGCGGCCACCACAATTACATGTAAATTATGCTTTATGTTTCATGAAGAGTTCACTTAATTTCAACTGTTTCAAACTCATATCTTTCTATTTGTTTCTATGTTAAACTGCCCCTTAAGGTCCAGATTTCGTTATTACAATGTTTAAATAAATATGTTGTTTCTTTGGGATGCATGTACTCTACTAGTCAATTTCTGTCCGACATTATTACATGTCTTTTGCAATCCTGTCACACACACATACTTTACTCTAGACTGTTGCCTTATTATGTTATGTAGCATTGTTCTCTTATACAGGGAGTGCAGAATTATTAGGCAAGTTGTATTTTTGAGGATTAATTTTATTATTGAACAACAACCATGTTCTCAATGAACCCAAAAAACTCATTAATATCAAAGCTGAATATTTTTGGAAGTAGTTTTTAGTTTGTTTTTAGTTTTAGCTATGTTAGGGGGATATCTGTGTGTGCAGGTGACTATTACTGTGCATAATTATTAGGCAACTTAACAAAAAACAAATATATACCCATTTCAATTATTTATTATTACCAGTGAAACCAATATAACATCTCAACATTCACAAATATACATTTCTGACATTCAAAAACAAAACAAAAACAAATCAGTGACCAATATAGCCACCTTTCTTTGCAAGGACACTCAAAAGCCTGCCATCCATGGATTCTGTCAGTGTTTTGATCTGTTCACCATCAACATTGCGTGCAGCAGCAACCACAGCCTCCCAGACACTGTTCAGAGAGGTGTACTGTTTTCCCTCCTTGTAAATCTCACATTTGATGATGGACCACAGGTTCTCAATGGGGTTCAGATCAGGTGAACAAGGAGGCCATGTCATTAGATTTTCTTCTTTTATACCCTTTCTTGCCAGCCACGCTGTGGAGTACTTGGACGCGTGTGATGGAGCATTGTCCTGCATGAAAATCATGTTTTTCTTGAAGGATGCAGACTTCTTCCTGTACCACTGCTTGAAGAAGGTGTCTTCCAGGAACTGGCAGTAGGACTGGGAGTTGAGCTTGACTCCATCCTCAACCCGAAAAGGCCCCACAAGCTCATCTTTGATGATACCAGCCCAAACCAGTACTCCACCTCCACCTTGCTGGCATCTGAGTCGGACTGGAGCTCTCTGCCCTTTACCAATCCAGCCACGGGCCCATCCATCTGGCCCATCAAGACTCACTCTCATTTCATCAGTCCATAAAACCTTAGAAAAATCAGTCTTGAGATATTTCTTGGCCCAGTCTTGACGTTTCAGCTTGTGTGTCTTGTTCAGTGGTGGTCGTCTTTCAGCCTTTCTTACCTTGGCCATGTCTCTGAGTATTGCACACCTTGTGCTTTTGGGCACTCCAGTGATGTTGCAGCTCTGAAATATGGCCAAACTGGTGGCAAGTGGCATTGTGGCAGCTGCACGCTTGACTTTTCTCAGTTCATGGGCAGTTATTTTGCGCCTTGGTTTTTCCACACGCTTCTTGCGACCCTGTTGACTATTTTGAATGAAACGCTTGATTGTTCGATGATCACGCTTCAGAAGCTTTGCAATTTTAAGAGTGCTGCATCCCTCTGCAAGATATCTCACTATTTTTGACTTTTCTGAGCCTGTCAAGTCCTTCTTTTGACCCATTTTGCCAAAGGAAAGGAAGTTGCCTAATAATTATGCACACCTGATATAGGGTGTTGATGTCATTAGACCACACCCCTTCTCATTACAGAGATGCACATCACCTAATATGCTTAATTGGTAGTAGGCTTTCGAGCCTATACAGCTTGGAGTAAGACAACATGCATAAAGAGGATGATGTGGTCAAAATACTCATTTGCCTAATAATTCTGCACTCCCTGTATGGTATTCATATTCCCCATATTAGGACTACTCCTTTATTGGTCCCCCTCATTCATTTGGGGCCTCAATTTCACTATCCATAGATCAGTGGTTACTTCCTTTAGGTGGGTCATTTTAATGGTTCTAAGAGTTTCCTGCTAATATGTATGAAGGATTTTACGCTAAATGTGATTGCATGGTTTAGGGCTACACTTCCCAGCTGCAGGCCAGCTAATAACCATTCCTGTACGCCATAATCCTATACCCTCCTCTGTTGTTTCCCTCCTCTATTGTTTATGCTCTTGTTTCACTTATCTAGGTAACGCTTTATCCAACCTTTTTCCTGCCATGATCATCCTTCCTGGCAGCAATTGCCCTTGTTCCCTCTTGTCTACCAGCTAGGTTAGGTTAGGGTAGGTTACTAGGCTTATTTGGATCATCGATCTGGCCCACGCCGTGGCATACGTTCTCAGACACTGCTCTATGAAAAATTTGGATCCTCGATCGGGTCCACGCAGTGGCATACATTCTCAGACACTGCTTGTGACAGACCGCCGTCACTAAGTACCATGCCCACTGCTTATTTGTGTGGTCTCCCCTTGTATTATGTGTTTTCCCATGTATTTCTATGCCTTTGGTGTATTAGGTGCCTGTATATGCAGCAGCTCTGTAAAGTAGAGTAAAGTAGAGTAAGTGAAATAGATTACTCTGTGCCTCTCCCCCTTCCTTTTGTGAATGTATGGTCTACCTGTATCTTTCCCCCTTCCCCCTCCCTTTTCCTGTCACAGCAGGACCTTGCCACAGAGACACTGTTTAACCTAGATGCATTGTCCTTCCTCCCTCCCCCTTCAGCTTCTTGGGATTGAAACCCCTGTTGTTTTGTGTTGGAGACCCCATGTAGGGGTCTGTGTCTGTAAACCCATGTATAACAAAATAAACTGAGTCAGTCCATGTTTGTACCTCCAGAACTTGGTCTTGTTCAATTACTTGGAGGAAGAAAGGGTCAATCCCTGTGCCAGCTTGTCACAGCTGGTGGAGGATGCAGCGGGTGTAAGGACTGTTACTCCCAGGACTGAGGCCATTCAGTGCCTGGAAGGGAGCATAGCTAGTTCCCCTACCCAGTGCAGCTAGGAAGCAGCCCCTTTAACGGAGGTAACTGGTCGGGTTACACTGCTTTATGGAAAATTTAGGTCCACGATCTGGCCCACGCAGTGGCATTCGTTCTCTGGACATTGAGTTATTCTGCAGACACTTTGCGGCCTCGGAGCCCTGGCTTGTGCAGTTTGCACATTCACTTCTCACTCCTCATATATTTGCCCTAATTCAGCAGACGTCTCACAGGGCATATCAGTTCCTTTCACCCCCCGAAGTCAAATCAAATATAGACTCGGTCGGGCCATTGTGTTTTGGGCAAGTCACAAATCTACAATAATTTCAACGCAGGTACATGTGGATTTAGTGCATGTAGACTGTTGCACATTTGTTCCCATTATTTCCGGGCTCATGCTAAATTCATGTGCCCATATAGAATGTACCCTACACCCTACCTCTCTTGTATTGATATTCTAAGACTTTGGCATTATGCGAATGGTACCCCGTGGTGGCAGCAGCTGTTACCTGGGGGCCTGGCCTGGCCGGGCTGGTCGCTCAGTCAGATGCTTCTCAGATAACCTATCTACCTGCCACATTGTCGACAAGGGTCACTCATCTTCTTTAATTATCATGAGGTTTTGTGGAAACTCACTTGGGTGGTGGCCACTCACCAGTTTCCACACATGTATTCACATCCCGGGGTCTCTAACATATCCGCTGATCACCTGTCCCGTTTCCACTTGCAGGCATTCCACAAGACTCTACCCACTGACTCTCATCTGGCTGCTCCTGTTCCCCATTTCGAGACATGTTAATCGATTAAATGTATTGTCACGCACACAGAGGCTCGCCCACTTGGAACTCGCGGGTAACACTAGGAAATCCTGCGACGGGGCCTTTTCACCTTTTCACCAAATTCACTACTGACTTTCATATTCACCATGAGTGGCAATGGAGTCTTTATTGGGTTTCACTTCTTTTACCACCCTAAGCTAAAATTATCCTATAACACTATCAAACTCTACCTAACAGGCATTTTACATCACATGCTAATATTACACCCTAACAGCACAGGATTCTTATCCTCTTACCAAATCAAAACCTTGCTGAAAGGGATACAGAAATCTGACAAAATATTACCTATCCAAGGTAAACTATTCCAACCCCTATCCAACTTATTAGATGCTTCTCCTTTTGAACCACAAAACAATATAGTAATCAAAACAGCCATATACTTAGCATTTTACGTTTTTCTAAGATCAAGGGAATTCACATCTACCAATCTAACGGACAGATTTCCTTACAAATAAGAATATCACTAAAACCCAGGATCACTACATCCTGACACTCAACCGTTTTTTGGTTTAAGACACATACTTCAGCACTTTTCACAAATTACCTCACCAACCACTTCTTGAGCGACAAGGTTCCACATTTACTACTTCTAAATTCATGCTGTACGTTCGAATGCTACTAACCAGGCTTGGCCTTTATTCAAATCAATATTCAGGCCACTCTTTTCGCATAGGGGCATCAGCCTCCTCCAATAACACTCCAGCAGATATCATTAAAGCCATGGGACGCTGGAAATCATCCACATACACTCTATATATCCCGTAGCCAGTTAAAGAGATTTGTCAAGCCTTTCAAGACTTGTCTAAATAATTGATGTATTGTAGAATGCATAACATCTTGTATGGTACACTTCCTTTTGCCCTCTTTTTCACAGGCCTACTGCATTGTTGGTTCCGGCACACCACAACTGACTGGTGTTTGTAAACTATGCTATTATTACTATTCATATGTTATTACTAATTATATGGTATTGAACCATTACAGCAATATTGCCCCAACCACAAATTTAAGACAGGGCCTGTAGTTGTTGGAGGAGCTTGGGTCCCCTTTCTAAGGGCCTCTAATCCTCACATACCTTTATTGGTCTGGCAAGTGAAACCTCCCACCACTTCCTCTTTCCCATCACCCTCTATAGGTGCGCCCTCTTTTTTTACAGACATCCTGCATTGTTGGTTCCGGCACACCACAACCAACTGGTGTTTGCAAACTATGTTATTGTTACTATTCATATGTTATTACTAATTATATGTTATCTAACCATTATGGAAATTTTGCCCCGACCACAAATATATATATTGTGGGGACTCCTCAAGTTCACCTTCCCTTCCAATCCACTTAACTCCATAGAAAGATAGAGATACTCCACATACGTCTTCTACATAAATCCTTACAGAGAGTTATAGCATTCCATAACTCCTTACCCAAGGGTCAAGTCCTAAAAAATAATTGTGGGAACTTCTTAAGTTCATATCCCCTTCTTATCCATTACGTAATTCATATCTCACTTTTAACCACCTAATGGCAAATTCTATTTTGTTGTTTAAATGCCTAAATACTTATCCTATCAACATATAATACACTGCTGACAATGACCCATCACCTGTTCTTAATATTTCCAGGCGGCTGATTCAAAGCATAGACTGTGCCAGTTTCTCAATAACTGCAATGATTACAATTGCAGGGTTAAACTGACAGGGACATTGCACCCAGACCACTTCAATGAGCTGTAGTGGTCTGGGTGCCTACAGTGTCCCTTTAAGAATGGGAAACAAATAAAATAATTTTAACACACCAAGTGCAACTGAAGAAAACTAATTCAAAATTTTTTATCAGTCCTCATTGTTATATGCATAGGACTAGGATCTAAATTATGTTTTGGTAGTTAAAGCTAACCCTACAGTAACTCCCCCAACCCTATATGTACTCTACTTTAACACTATATCTACTATGTACTCTACTTTAACACTATATCTACTCTACTTGTACCCCTAACTTTACACTATCCTTAACTATATACCTACCCTAACCTTAACCCTACAATATCCCTAACCCTAATAAAGGCTTTAACCCTAACCTAACATTAACCCTTACCTTACCCTACACCTAACCCTAACTCTACCACTCCTTCTAAGGGATTCCCTCTGCTAATACCAGTATTAATATCAACAGAGGGATTTACAAGTTAAAACAGGAGAGAATTGTCTATAATTGTCATCTGCTGGCTGTTTCTATAATAAGAGGACCGCATGGGTATGCGGCATGTCCACTAATGCCTGCATGTCTTTCTGTCAAAACGACCTTGGTCTTCTGTGAATAGAGAAACACAGGATTACACAGAGCACTTAATTTGCATTTCTTCCATTTAAAATGTTAAGTACTCTGTATAAATAATTCTGTAATATAAGCAACCCTCCTCCTTTTAAGATAAGAAGTGTGGAAATTCAGTCTCCTGCTTCGAATTTTAAAATTTTGATATAACCTTTTCAATTAATGGAATACTTTTTGGATAAACTTTTTAAAATTATCTAATATTTTAAAAAAAATTTAATATGTTACTATTTTGATAAAAATATATGTATAAATTATCAAAATAGTATCATATTAAAATACTTTTCAAAATATTAGATAATTATATATAAATTATTAAAATAGTAACATTAAAATATTTTTCAAAATATTAGATCATTTTAAAAAGTTTATATTTATTATGTATGGTATATTTTTTATATTTTGATGGAATAATTCTGAAAGTTTATCCAAAAATATATAATTAATTGAAAAGCTCATCGAAAAATATTAAATCGAAGCCATAGTAAAAGAACTCAGTTCCTGGACTAGAGTCCTTACCAAACCAAAGTGTTTTCCTTGCCTTAAATCTGATTTGGTTTGAAAGATATCGTTTTTGCACTGATACAGACCTCTCAGTGTATTTCACTTTGGCCAGAAGAAAGACTCTGATGATTTATTGTCCCCAATAAAAGGCCATGCACAAACACAACTAAATATGCTCTTTTTTTAAATTGTATTTTATAAGGTCCATTTGTTATGGCCAGTGTCACATAATCAAAGGCATGCAATGATCCATAACACAATAATCACTTCTCATAAATGTGCTATTGTGCATTTATTTAAAAGAACCTGATCTCTCTTTCTGTAAGATCCTCCCTTCCTGTAGCTGTTTAGTTTCGTTTATTATAAACTAGCGAGTGCCCCTCAGTTTACAACACGGAAAGGAGTAGGACAATGTATGACTACGATCCTGTGAGGTTCGGACTCAGCCCCCGGGAGAGAGAGGGGATCATAGAGTTGCTGGGATTAATGGATCCTATTGAACTGAATAAACTAGCAAGAACTATCTCCGGGTCTAAGAGAGTGCGCAGGGGGACAGGTAAGGCGCCATCGGCACTGACTGGATTAGACACAGGTAAACATAGAACGCGGGAAATTGGAAAGGGATCATCAGAGGTTCCAATGCTACATTGTATCAGCACCCCCCGCATGGTTACAGCGCGGACTCAATGTAGTATACTATCTCTGGAGCTCTGCCTCCAGCTTTAGGTAATTCAAACAGGGCTGACATACTGGGTGAAAGTGAGAGAACGGCAGAGTAAGTGTGAGGGGTGAAAGTGAGAGAATGGCAGAGTGAGAGTGAGGGGAGGAAAGTGAGAGAGTGAGAGAATGGCAGAGTGAGAGTGAGGGGAGGAAAGTGAGAGAACGGCAGAGTAAGTGTGAGGGGTGAAAGTGAGAGAGTGAGAGAATGGCAGAGTGAGAGTGAGGGGAGGAAAGGGAGAGGAAGTGATTGGGCCGAATCTATGCCCTGATGCAGTTATATGTGTCTCTTCTCCAGGAAATCAATTGGTAAACCTGATGTTTTGCTACAAATGCAATGGAAGACATTTTATATGGTCATCGAATATTTTGTGGTTATGTAATTATGCCCCTACCTATGCACACTGGCACACAAGCACATATAGGTAGTATAACCTTTATCTTAATAAAGTAGTTATTATGGATGTATTAGCTCAGGCAATTGTTTCTGCTGGAGTACATGTCAATACATTCTAGAAACAAGGTAAGTTTGTGTTGTTTGTGGTTTGAAATATGAACCTACCTATGTTTGATCTGTAGGATTTGTCTTTTTTTTTTCCTTTTCCAATATCAATATAATAGTTGTTAAATAATAAAAAATGTTAATCTGATATGTTACAATTACACACAGACACACACACACACACACATTATTATAATTTTTTTCAAAATATATATATTATTATCTTATAATATACAAAAAACGATTTTGGGCTCAATTCTATGTCTTTTCATGTGCAGTAAACAGTCATCTTACTATTCTGTTGTTTTCAGAAAAATGGTTTGTCAAATGCAATAAATATCTCTTGCCCGCATTTTATTGCATCTGTTTTTTTATCATAGGAACCTATTAGGAGTACAGTAAATTGTGCCACCTAAATGCTGATTATTTTAAGGGTGGAAGAAGCGAGGAAGAGCGAGGAAGAAGATTTATCATCTGCTCTTCAATAGATACATCTATCTGTAAATTTGCAACAGACAAATTTCAAAAATACTAAAAAAATCCAGCGCCAGTGCCAAATTCTACCTGCAGCCTGTCCCACCTTTCATGGTGTCTAACTGCAGGGCAGAGCAAGACTACCAATTAAGGGACCAAAGCAGGTGCCTAGGGAGGGCTCTGGCTTAGACAGTGGGCCATCCTGCCCTTTTCAAGCCAGCAGGGAGATCAAATCATTGAAGAAGCATTGTGGTATAACAATATTCGCTTCAGATCACTTTAAGAGCACCCCTTGCAGTACCCCCAGCACTTCTTGATGACTCTGAAAGTGACAGCCAGTACTTGGAGTAACCTTTCAGCTATATACGTTCTCACTAGTTTATGTTGACTCCATGCTTTATGGGACTGAACTGGTTTCCAAGGGTCAGTTTTTCACATTCTGGTTCTGTTTACTCAGTATATTAGTTCAATACATTTTGATGCCTTCTGTGTGGTGTATAATTAATTTCTTCTGTTTCTTTTTTTTTTTGTAGCTATTGATTTAATACTAAAGAGGACCAGAAATGCAGAGCAGCTTTTGAAGAGGAAAAAAGTTTCCCATGAAGTTATTTTTCAGTATCTTCGGGGGAAAAATGTTCGTGTGCCAGACACTTATAAAAAGCCTGATTTGATCAACAATGTACTTAAGCTGTGGGGGATTCAAGTGAGTAATATTATTCCAACTGAATTTCTAAATAAAAATATATTTTATGTACTGATTATATCAATGGCAGGCAAACTTAGGGGCTCGGTGGTTTTCCAACAGCACTATAATATTATACTTATTTAGGCAATTTAAAAATGTATCTTGATTACCTGCATTGGAATAACCACTTCACAGACAACCATTTTTTATTCTACTGTATTACTGTTTTTCTATTTTAGATAAGCTAGTGTGTCTAGGAACAGATAGCTGTTAGTTTGGATTTAGATAGGTGCCCACGAAGACACAAGCTGAGGACTATGCAGTCAAGTACTTATAATACTTCAGAATCTACTTTTTTTTCTATGCATTTTTAAGCTACTTTTCATAGTCTGTTTACTAACTATCCTATATTGTTCTCGTAGACTATTTGCAGCCCTTGTTGGTTAGGGTTTCATCAGAAAGGGATCTTTTACACCTAACGACTAGGAATTTGGCTATCACTCTATTTACTGGGTCTCTGTCGTTTTATTACAAAGTTACGATGCCATCAGTGTTACAATCAGTCAGCTTAATTAACCCCTTAGTGATCAGGCAGTTTTTCAATTTTCTTACTGTTAATGATCAGGGCTGTTTTTACATTTCTGCGTTTTCTTTTTGTGTTTAGCTGTAAATTTCCTCTTACTCATTTACTGTACCCACACATATTATATATTGTTTTTCTCACCATTAAATCGTCTTTTTAAAGATACCATTATTTGCATCATATCATATAATTTACTATATAACAGAATTATAAAATATTATGAAAAAAAAAAAAATCCCATGGGGAGACAAAATTATATTTACATAAGCCAGGTGCAAACCATATAAACACTCCCTCAAGTGTTTAAATATCAAAATCCATACATAATATAGAATGCACACTACAACAACTTAATCGTAAAGTACAATAAGACTTTATTCAATAGAAGAATTACAATATCCAACACAAACCAATAATACACAAAGTATATTATGTTGAATAATTGTATATATACATTAGATATTATATGTGTTCCTTTATATACTTACTGTGTATATTGTACCAGTACCTGAAGTGATGACATCACTTCCTGGGGTGGGGACAATTTCGTGCTGATGGCCATCAGCTGTACGGGGGATTTATAAGCAGACACATGTGAAGATTGATACAGGTGCCCTTGATAAAGGCAACCAGTTGGTGCCGAAACGTTGGGGGAGTTAGTGACTTGTGTTTCTACCTTGGGCCTTGAAAGATTTTTTTAGTATAGTACTTTTGTATTACTGTTTGCTTCTTTTTCTGTTCTTTTGTCTGTTATTGGTTTGTGTTGGATGTAGTAATTCTTCTATTGAATAAAGTCTTATTGTACTTTACGATTAAGTTTTTGTAGTGTACATTTTATATCATGTATGAAAAAATGTAAAAAACACACTTTTCCTAACTTTGACCCCCAAAATCTGCTATGCATCTATAACTGCCAAAAAACACCCATGCTAAATAGTTTCCAAATTTTGTCCTGAGTTTAGAAATACCCAATGTTAACATGTTCTTAGCTCTTTTTTTTTTTGCAAGTTATAGGGCTATAAGTACAAGTAGGACACTGTTGTTTCAATATATATATTTTTAAAATGTATCAATAGTGACATTGTAACACTGTTATCTGTCATAAATCTCTGAATCACACCTCACATGTACATATTTTTTTAAAGTAGACAACCCAGCGTATTCAATATGGGGTATGTCCAATTTTTTGTTAGTAGTCACAAACACTGGCCAAAGTTAGCATTTACATTTGTTTGTGTGTTAAAAATGCAAAAAACAATTATGAATGCTAACTTTGGCCAGTGTTTGTGACTAATTATCTACTAAAAAAGACTGAACATACACCATTTGCAATACCTTGGGTGGTCTTCTTTTGCAAATGGTATGCCATCATGGAGGTAATTCTCATTCCTGGGCTTCCATACGCTCTCAAAGGCAACATAACAATCTGGCAAATTTCAATGTGAAAAAATGGGAAATCAAGCCTTATATTTGACCCTATAACTTTCAGAAACACTATAAAACCTGTACATGGGGGATACTGTTATACTTGCGAGACTTCGCGGAACACAAATATTAGTGTTTCAGAACAGTAAAATGTATCACAACAATGATATCATCAGTAAAAGTGGCCTTTTGGGTATGGAAAATCCAAAAACTGTCACTTTTACTGACAATATCATCGCTGTGATATGTTTTACTGATTTCAAGCCAACCAATCAGAGTACTCTGTGTCATTTTACACAGCGTGGGAAAATTCCAAAGAACTTTCCCACGCTGTGTAAAATGACTGGCACTCTGGTTTAATTCCAAGTCAACCAATCAGAGTGTTCTGAGTCAAACTGCAGGGCGTAGGAAGGCTTTATAAGCCTTACCCCGCCCTGCGGAGCTCAGTTTACGCCGTGCCCTCGCCATGTGAAGATGGATAAAAATTTTAGCGTCGTGTTTTTGTCTTTTTCATTGGATTTTTTTTTTGCGCTCTTCGACAGGTATTATGGTTTTTATTTGGTCTTTTTGGGGGCTGAGAAATGAAGATTTTAGAAAAAAGAAGACATCAAATGGTAAGTTAATTTTTTTTTTTTTTTACAGGCACTTAGTTCTTTTATTCCCCCCTCACTATTTTTAGGGTGAAGGGGGTAGGTAGCGGTCTAATAACTTTTGTTTTGGGTGGGGGAGTGACTGGGGGCTTGGGGACCCCTGGTCACCTTGGGGGGGGGGGACAATTTCATTTATGGCCCCCACCCGCCACTCGGGTGTGGGGGAGGACAATAGGTCCCCCCCTTATTGTTATTTATGGCCCCCACCTGCCATGCAGGTCAAACTCCTACAACTTGAGGAGAAAGAAAAAGAAAATAGCTCCAATACATATACAAATCATATTTTTTTCCCCCTTTTTCCATTTTCCTCCCTTTTTTTTCCTTATCACTTATTACTTTTATGTCTTTACATTCACTTTAGAATATGTGGTAAAACACGACACTCAATACCTATGTATGTGAAAAAATTCTATCAAATAAATTGCAGGTACTAATAGTGTGCATTTAAGCACCTATACAAGCTAAACAATAATCTTATGTTAGTGAAGCCACAATATCTTATAGTTTACTGACAATCTATTTTGCGTAAATGGAGTGTTAAATCTTAAGAATCTAAAAACACCCTTTTCTTTAATGCGTGACTATTATAGATGATTGTGTTAAAATTACTCATTTTTATACTGATTAACCTCACCCCTCACAAAAAAAAAATTAAAATTTTTCCTTCTCTTTTTCTTTTCTTTTCTCTCCTTCTATCTCTCATCCCTCATTCATGCAAGATCATTAGACAAAAGCCAATGTTGTAAACTTTTCGGGTCTTTGAACAGTTCTGTTTTTTCTTTAAAGAAGATTCTTATTCCAATTGGGAATGTCCATGCATATTTTATATTATTATTCCATAATTTAGAAGTATGAACCATAAAAGGCTTTTTGGCATTCCTGGTGGCGAGGGATATGTTGTTGAAAATTTTTAAATCTTCAAATTTAGAGTCCTTTAAAGACTTTGTTTTTAATGCTGTGATGATTTTAGCCTTAAATGAAAAGGAGTGCAGACTCGCGCTCACTTCTCTTGGTAAGTGAGCCGGTAGGCCACTAAATTCTGGTATCCTATGAACTATCTCGATGATAAATGGGATGTTATCCAATTGTAAACCCAACATTTTTAAAAAATCTTACAGATATCGCTCTAAATGCTGTTGTGATAAATTTTCTGGTATTCCCCATATCCTGATATTATTTCTACGTGCTTTGTCCTCGTTGACCACAGATTTCAATTCCAGTTGATCAATTCTTCGTTCCAGTATCTTTATTTTTTCTTCCATTAAGTTGTTTTGTACGATTGAGTATTCAAGTTTTTCTTCCAGAGATGAGAGTTTAGTATTTAATTTAGATATTTCCTCTTTGAAAGTTAAGGAGACAACTTGGATTTCATTTTTTACTTTTTCCATTTGTACTTCGAAGCAATTATTTAATACTTCTCTGTCAATGCTTAGTGATTCACTAAACGAACAATCTGGAATTTGTTTGACATTGCATTTGTCTGTTTGATTCAGACTGTTTGAATCTTCATCTCCATATTTCGTTGGTTCAAGTTGACTCAATCTTCTTAGTGAGTTATCTCTGTCTTATGACAAGAAAAAAATTAGAAAGGCTTTATCGACCTTTAATTCGATTTTTTGTTCCATTGTTATTTTTCTCTGTCTTTCTTGCTCCCTTGCTTAACATCATTTTTTTTAGTTGCTGTTTTGTTTGGGAGACACAAAGAGGAAAACAATAAAACAAATAAATAAATATATGAATAAATAAGAGAAAAATAAAATAGGAAAGAGGAATCAGAAATCAAAAAATGGTTTGTTCTCCTCTATAAGGCCGTTTTCAATTTGTATATCACCCCCTGATTCTTAAAGGGTCCAATTGCTTGATCCACCTATATGGACTTGTTTTAACTTAAGCTTGTCTACAATGAGTGGTGGAATTAACAGTTACCACGCCAATTAGACTTAAGCTTCTCTTTGTACAAGGCAGGGTTCACCTTGAGTTTCCTGAGTTAATTAGGAACCACAGAGTCTCCTTAAATCGTCAGCCAGTTGCCAATTTTACCTCAAAATGATTAAATTACAGCAGAATTAACTAAAATCTGGACTTCAATTAAGTCATCATGGATAACAGCACCCTCACCACTTCGCACAAGTGTCACGGGTAGCGGTACAGAGAACGGAACCCCTCAGTGCCTGAAGAGGATGATTGGAGTCTCGGCAAGGAAAGGACTATCAGGTCCTGGTGCAGGGTAACCACACGTCCCCTGGTGTTGAGCACCAGTTTGTGCGGCCACATACCAGGGCCCTGATGCAGTTTCTGCGGATTCTAAGGGCTAGGTGAAAATATGCAGGTCTCCCAGAATATTGATAGGGAGGCTCTGCAGCAGATATGTATCCAGTACAGAAACAAGTCAAGACTAGAACAGGCATCTAACAAGAAAACAAGACAAGACTAGAAGACCCAGAACCGGAGCAGGACAGAAAGCAGAACCCAGAACATGTACACAATAATGAGCGCCACATTAACAGGGCAAGGCAGGACTGTACATGAACTGGGAAGACAAAATTAAACAAGACAAGAGATAGAAGGCAAGAAAGAGGAGACATAACTAAGTACTATATATGTAAAACATTGGAGATTTAGACACACAAGATGTATGCAGTCCACCACTGCGCCACAGTACTCCAATTATGGTGGGACCTAACTGCCTAGATATGCATGACTAAATAAACAATAAAGCACACACAGTACTTACCTGCAAAGAAAGGAGCAGAGGTAATGAGACTGCTTGCAGGACCAGACTGAAAAAAAAAGGATTAATTTCAAAGCAATGGGTGTGGCAACAAAAACCAAAGACTTAACCCCTTAGTGACCATGGACGTATTAGGTACGCCCGACAAAAAAACGGTCCTTAAGGTCGCGGACGTACCTGATACTTCCTGGGGTAATTAGAGCTCTGTAAGCAATCATGATTGCTTCCAGCAGCTCTAATGGTATTACAGCGATGCCTCAATGTTGTAATGTTTGTAATAAAATAAAAAAATACTTACACTCCATCCCTCTCCCTCCCCATGTACTTACCGATCGCCGCGTTCCACTGCTGGCGATCGGTCTTCTTCTTTGGGAGGACTCTCTGGACTGAGCCCAGAGAGTGCCCCCTTGGCAATTTAGGACCCCCTAAGAGAGCGGTCACATGGCCCCCATAGGTGTTCTAACTGACAGGCAGTCCCCCTGCTGGTGAAAAAAGTTAAAATAAAGTTAAATAAATAAATAAAAGGTAATAAAAATAAATAAATATATATATGTATATATGCGATATATATATATATATATATATATATTCCTCTATTATATCTATATATGTATTTTTTTATTAATATATACAAATATTAATATAAAAATACACTTAGAGTAAAATTGCACGCATATATATATAACATATATAATAACTATATATATATATGTAATTTTATTCTAACTGTAGTTTGATATTAATATATATCAATTTATATATTTATATCAAAATACACTTAAAATTTAATTATATATATATCTATGTCTTTAATGACCGTGGACGTACGTCCGACAAAAAAAAGGTTGTTAAGGACTGCAGCAAATAGGAGCCCTGGACTTACCTGGACCAGCGATCCATGGCAATCACGGTCAGGGGGGACTGCCAGAGACCCCAGCAGTCCCCCTGCAGCAGCTTCGGCCACCCCGGCCCTCCAGGGCCATGTGATCACCCCGATCACATGGCCGCTATAGGAGTTGCCAGCAGGAGGACTGTCTGAGCTATCAGACAAAAAAAAAATAAAAATATATATATATATAGTATACATATATATATGTATAATATAGTATAAAATATTTAAACCATTTTATAATATATTATACATATATAATGCATATATATGATTTCATTATAAGTGTACTTTGAGATATATACACATATATCTCAAAATACACTTGTAATTAAATCATATATATGTATAATATATTATAAAATGTTTCAATTATAATATATTATACATATATAGGAAATAAAAGTGTGTGTGTGAGTGTAAATACATACACACACACTTATTATATACACGTATTATATGTATATGTGTGTGTGTATATATATTTCCTGGACATATCCATGGCAGCACAACAATGGGTAGCTCCTCCCCATCCTTGGGAAGCTCCAGGAGACGGCCCTGTGCAAAGGTGTCCCCCTGGAGAACCCCCCGGGGGAAGCTTGCAGTGACCCTAGGGGTAGCAAGCATAAGGAGCCACTACCCTACTGACTGCAGTGACCCTAGGGGTAGCAGGTATGGGCAAGGCATAAACAGTATGGATATACCCCCTTCTACCTTAATTTTTCTGGTTAATCCTGCCTTTTCTGATTGGGAGGCATTCCTCCTCTTGATTCAGCAGTTCTCTGCCCAGTGTTTATTCTCCCTTGTGGGGGACTACAGGGCTTCTCTGGTGATCTAGGGTTCCAGAGCCCTACATATTCGGATAGAGGAACATAGCAGAAACATTATGAGAGGCGCAGATAACCATAGTGTACCTGCGCACTACAAACAATTCCATAACCAGTCCCCTTTAGGTTCATTATTTTTAGGTATTAAAAAAGTCTCAAAAGACTGGAGAGGAGGTAATTTTAACCAGAAACTTAGTAGGGAGGAAATGCGAATGATTTTTGAATTTAATACTCTTACCCCCTACGGCCTCAACACGGACTTTGAAATTTGCCATTTTTTGGAAGGATAGTTGAGTTTGCTCTAATACTAATTTTTATAAATATTTTATAAATATTTATTTCATTCAGTAAGAAAGAAAATGATATAATTTTTTAGCTCCATTATCTTACCCTTTATGGTTTTAATACGCATTTTTAATTAATGATTTTTCAGGAAGAAAGCTTAGTGTGCAATAATATATATTCTTCTTGGAAGGATAGTTAGGTATGCTCTAATACCTATTTTTATAAACATTCAAAAGAGTATAATTTTCGAGTTCCATAATCTGATTTTTATGGTTTTAATACGTATTTTTAAATTAACGATTTTTTTAGGAGAAATCCCAGTGTGCAATAATATATAATCTTTTTTTTATTAGATATCCTGTTTTTTATGAGATATTTTATTTGTTTACCCTCCATCCTTTATAGATAGTCTCTATATATGCCGATAAGATTTAGTATTTTAACACAGTATAGATTGTAAAATGTGATAGTGATCCATAATGAGAAACAATTTAGTTCATTTGTGTCATTTTATGTAATGAGTCTTTTGTAACTGTTGAATTCCTCATATGTAACATATTTGAACATAGAGGGAATGTAATCAGAATTGTAATAGTCCCCTCCGGACAAAAGTTGAATGGGAGTAAAGAGGAGATACCGTATGAGACTCCTCGTTTGCATATTTTTACAGATCTTACATGATATAAGATATTTATTTTACTCTTGTTTCCTCCCCTGTGAAGTAACAATAGTTTATTACTATCCGTATCCATTCTTTTTTTGATTTATCGTTGGACTTGATATGATGAATGGGACCTGTACACGATGCCTGATCACATGACCAAGACAGATGACGTCATATGCGGAAGTGATCTGAAAGAGAAAGGAGGTGTGGAACGCAAGTATTGATCGGGCGTTCACAGGATAAGCGCGCCTTTTTTCAAACAACAGAATAGAAGAGAGGACTATATAAGCAGGACAACTACACTTTGAGAAGATACATTGGACCCAGCTGAGGAAGCCGTCGGAGTTACGGTGAAACGCGTTCTGGGAAGAAGTGTATGATACCTTTATGCCCATTTGTTACTGTTTTATTTATTTCTATAGTATTTTATACTTTTGTGTTCTATATTATTATAGAGGGTTTTTTATACCCTTCTGATGTAATAAAATTATTTTTTACTTATTATATGGGCTAATTTGGTTCCTGCTTTGAAAAGTTCTACTGTTGATTCAACGTGCAGAGACAGAGCCGATATAGAGGCTCCACTTTTGTGAGTATATAATATACCTGAAGTAGGAGTATTCTACATAGACGTGCTACACTATATATCTGTTCTATTTGAGTCCTAGAGGCGATTAGAGAAGATCACCTGGTTAGAAGAAGGGGAAGGTCGCCTGTACGGACCTACACATGTTTATCCCTGAGCTTGGCATTAAGCTCAGGAGAATGTGAGTTTATTGCTATATTTCATTCTTATCATATCTATATTTACGGTGTTACACTATTGGAGTTCTTTTTTGCTTGTTTTAGGTTGATTGTATAAAGTATTGGAATTGCTCTCATCTGGACGCCTTGTCAGCCTATTAGGTTAAACCTTATTATATGTATGTATACAGCGCTACACCTATCTCCTTTTCTGTTCCCCCTGTCCCTATTTGCGGCATTTTCGTCGCATTTCTGTGATCTGCAGAGGTTGGGAGACCTGTGGTCTCCTTGCTGGCTTGTTGTCTGTTTTTTTGCGCATGCGCGAGCGCATGCGCGAGCAGTACGTTCACGTCATGCCGTTTTCGCATATGCGCGGAACGTCAAGGTTCCGATGACATCATTCAGTAGTTTGGGCGCCAATACTGAAGTTTACCTTTCCAACACAGTCCCTTGCTAACTTAAAGCAGTACAGTACGGTCTTTTTGAACCTTATTTGTAAGCCTTATAGTATTTTATGGGCTTAATTTGTATAGATGAATTCATCTGAGATCATGGATTCAGACTCATCAGTTCAAAGTAAAAGGTCACTAGCTAAATCTCAGGGGTAAGCCATTTCCTATATTTTTTCTTCAATTTTTCTTCTAAACTAAAGAGTGCTGGCTAATATTTTCCCTTATTATAGTAGTACTAAAGGGAAAAAGACAACTGGAACATCCAAAGGAAAGTCTCCCGCAAGCATGTGACAAGAGGGCCCTGGAGGGGAAGTACCTATGCTCAGATTGCCTACAGGCCGCAGAATGTCCCGCATCATCCACCCCGGATTTGATGCAAATTATTCAGAATGCTGTATCCCAAGGCATTAAAGAGGCTGGCAGAGCCCACAAAAGACATAGAAACAGAATGTGACTGCAGATAAGAACCATTCGACCTATCTAGTCTGCCCAATTTTCTAAATACTTTTATTAGTCACTAGCCTTATCTTATAGTTAGGATAGCCTTATGCCTATCCCACGCATGCTTAAACTCCTTTACTGTGTTAACCTCTACCACTTAAGCTGGAATGCTATTCTATGCATCCACTACCCTCTCAGTAAAGTAATACTTCCTGATATTATTTTTAAACCTTTGTCCCTCTAATTTAAGACTATGTCCTCTTGTTGTGGTAGTTTTTCTTCTTTTAAATATAGTCTCCTCCTTTACTGTGTTGATTCCCTTTATATATTTAAATGTTTCTATCATATCCCCCCTGTCTCGTCTTTCCTCCAAGCTATACATGTTAAGATCCTTTAACTTTCCTGGTAAGTTTTATCCCGCAATCCATGAACCAGTTTAGTAGCCCTTCTCTGAACCCTCTCTAAGGTATCAATATCCTTATGAAGATACGGTCCCCAGTACTGTGTACAATACTCCAAGTGAGGTCTCACCAGTGTTCTGTACAATGGCATGAGCACTTCCCTCTTTCTACTGCTAATACCTCTCCCTATACAACCAAGCATTCTGCTAGCATTTCCTGCTGCTCTATTACATTGTCTGCCTACCTTTAAGTCATCAGAAATAATCACCCCTAAATCCCTTTCCTCATATGTTGAGGTTAGGACTCTATCAAATATTCTGTACTCTGCCCTTGGGTTTTTACGTCCAAGATGCATTATCTTGCACTTATCCACATTAAATGTCAGTTGCCACAATTCTGACCATTTTTCTAGTTTACCTAAATCATTTGTCATTTGGCTTATCCCTCCTGGAACATCAACCCTGTTACATATCTTAGTATCATCAGCAAAAAGACATACCTTACCATCAAGACCTTCTGCAATATCACTAATAAAAATATTAAAGAGAATGGGTCCAAGTACAGATCCCTGAGGTACCCCACTGGTGACAAGTCCAAGCTTTGAATATATTCCATTAACTACAACCCTCTGTTGCCTGTCACTCAGCCACTGCATACCCATTCAAGAATATTGAAATCCAAACTTAAAGATTGCAGTTAATTGATAAGCCTTCTATGTGCAACAGTGTCAAAAGCCTTACTGAAATCAAGGTAAGCAATGTCTAATGCACCACCCTGATCTATAATTTTAGTTACCCTATCAAAAAAATCAATAAAATTAGTTTGGCATGATCTCCCTGAAGTAAACCCATGTTGTCTCTGATCTTGAAATCCATGTGTTTTTAGATGTTCATCCACCCTATGCTTTAACATGGTTTCCATCACTTTCCCCACTACTGAAGTAAGGCTTACTGGTCTATAGTTGCCCGACTCCTCCCTATTACCTTTCTTGTAAATGGGCACAACATCCGCTAACTTCCAATCTTCTGGGACTACTCCTGTTAACAATGATTGGTTAAATAAATCTGTTAATGGTTTTGCTAGTACACCACTAAGCTCTTTTAATAGCTTTGGGTGTATTCCATCAGGTCCCATTGACTTATTTGTCTTTACTTTTGACAGTTGAAATAGAACCTCTTCCTCTGTAAACTCACGTGTAATAAATGACTCATTTATCCTTTTTCTCAACTGAGGTCCCTTTCCTTCATTTTCATCTGTAAATAAAGAACAAAAATATTCATTGAGGCAGTCAGCTAGACCTTTATCCTCTTCTACATACCTTCCTTCTTTTGTTTTTAATCTAACTAATCCTTGTTTTACTTTTCTTTTCTCATTTATGTATCTAAAAAATGTTTTATCCCCTTTTTTTTTTACTGACTGTGCTATTTTCTCTTCTGTGTGTGATTTGGAAGCTCTTATAACTTGCTTAGCCTCTTTCTGCCTAATCTTATCGATCATTTTTTCTTCCTCATTCTGGTTTTTTTTATAATTCCTAAATGCTAACTTTTTGTTTTTAACTATTTTGGCCACATCTGTGGAGTACCACAGTGGTTTCTTGAATTTTTTGCTTTTACTGACAAGCCTAATGCAATTTTCTGTTGCCTTCAATAGTGCAACTTTTAAATAATCCCATTTCTCGTAGACTCCATTTAAATTGCTCCAGTCTGATAATGACTCTTCTCCCCATGTTCTAATTTTAGAAAAGTCTGTTTTTCTAAATTCTAAAACTTTTGTTTTTGTGTGGTGTGACTCAGTCACTGTTCTTATATTAAACCACACTGACTGATGATCACTGGATCCTAAACTTTTACCTACAGTAATATCTGATACCAAATCTCCATTTGTTAACACTAAATCTAGTATGGCCTCTTTACGAGTTGGCTCCTCAACAACTTGTTTTAGAGACAATCCCAGTAGGGAGTTTAGAATATGTGTGCTCCTGGCACAAGTAGCTAATTTTGTTTTCCAATTTACATCAGGAAGATTAAAGTCACCCATGATGATAACTTCCCCTTCATTGTCATTTTAGCTATTTCCTCAACTAGTAGATTATCTAACTCTTCAATTTGTCCTGGGGGCCTATAAATCACACCTACACGAGTTACTGTGTGATTACCAAATTCTAACGTAACCCAAATGGACTCACTAACTTTTATTAGGCTAGATTTTATGCTATCCTTCACATACAAGGCCACCCCCCCCCTTTCTTGCCTTCCCTATCTTTTCTATATAAAGAGTACCCTAGTATTGCTATGTTCCAGTCATTTTTCTCATTATACCATGTCTCAGTAACAGCGACTAAATCTACACTATCAGTTGCCATTATTGCCGCAAGTTCATGGATCTTATTTCCTAAACTGCGAGCATTTGTAGACATGACTCTAAGCTTATCATTTTTTTTAACACACTTGTTACAGGCACCTTCTGTCCTTGTTTTGGGGGACAATTGGTTTGATGTTTTATCACCCTTTTGCCCCCCCCCGCCCCACTCCTAGTTTAAATACATCCTAGAAAAACCTCTGAACTGCTCACTGAGAACATTTGTTCCCTTTTGAGAAAGATGCAAACCATCTTTTTTGTACAGCTTATCTCCATTCCAAAAAGAGCTACCATGAGAAATAAAGCCAAATCCTTGCTCCCGACATCATTCACCAAGCCACAAATTAAAGTCCCTAATACGCATCCGCCTGTCGTTCTGAGTGTTATGCACAGGCAGAACTTCAGAGAATGACAGTGTGGAAGCAACTTGCTGTATATCATTGGCAAAAACACTAAAAACTTCCTTAACCTCTGAAACCTCATTGCAAGCCAAGTCATTTGTCCCTAGATGGACAAGTACATGCAATTCCCCTTCCTGCTTTGCTTGCTTAACAATATTACAGATACGTCTCCTGTCTCTGTGAGCAGTAGCTCTGGGAAGGCACCTCACAAGACCACCATTGTCCATCTCCACACCTATAATTGAATCCCCCAACAACAACTGCTTTCTATTAGGCCTCACCATAGTCTCCAAGCCGGTCTCCACAACACCACTAGCCTCAGTGCCTCTCTCCACAACACCACTAGCCTCAGTGCCTCTCTCCACAACACCACTAGCCTCAGTGCCTCTCTCCACAATACCACTAGCCTCAGTGCCTCTCTCCACAACACCCTAGCCTCAGTGCCTCTCTCCACAACACCACTAGCCTCAGTGCCTCTCCACAACACCACTCCTCAGTGCCTCTCTCCACAACACCATTACACTCTGAAAGTGCAGAAAATGAATTATGTAGAGCAACAGACTGTGCAAAATGCCTTTTATCCACAACTCTAAGTCTACCAGATCCTACAGTAATCCATCTGCCATTCCTAGTATGTCTCTGCGGCAGTGGCTTTGCAGCAGTTCCAGTCTGAGTTTGTTCACCAGATAATTTACAAATCTCAGACTTCAAAAATACAATCTCCTGCCACAAGATAGAGAACTGTCTACAGATTAGACAACAACCAAACCTCCAAAAAGTGGAACGTGAAACAAATGCATAGCAACTATTACACTGAACTAAGTCTGCCATTCCAATGAGGAGAATAATTTAAATCAAACAAATCTTAACTTTGTATTTATCCTCCTGAATACCTCAGATTACCTCCAGTTTATCTCCAGAATATCTCCAACTACACACTTAGAAACAGCACTTAGAAGTAGCAACCAAGCTATATTAGCCAAGCTAATGACAACAGCCCTAGAAATCCAGATCCTCCCGACTACTCCCAATACGACTCTTCGGATGTGTCTATGGAGGAGACATACAGGAAGAGGTCATCTTCCTCGGATGAGGAAAAACAGCACGCTCCTGACACTTTGGACCCAACCGAAGTGGATCACTTAATTTTCAGGCATGAAGGAACCTTCAAGAGAAGAGCCTTCTACATCCAGTCGATACTTTTCTGACCTCAGAAAAAAGAGGGTTACTTTCCCGGTTCATGAGGCGATTAAGGGCATCATTATGGAAGAATGGTCCAAAACAGAGAGGAAACTTCCCAATCGGGGGAGAATTTCTCGCCTTTACCCTTTTGACAAAAAGGACGCAGGCCACTGGGAATCAGCCCCTAACGTGGATGCAGCGGTGGTAAGACTGGCCAAGCACCCCACATTGCCAGTGGATAATGCAGGATCTCTAAGAGACTCCATGGATAAGAAGATGGACTCTAACCTGTCCAGGGCCTATGTGGCAGCAGGCACAGGCCTCCACCACGCGGTAGCCCTTACCTCGGTCTCCAGAGCTTTTAAGATCTGGCTGGAAGGCTTGGAGGAGGACATCAAAGAGGACAGAAGCAGATCTAACCTCATGGGCAGTCTACAAGACATTAAGCTGGCCGTAGATTTCACTACTGAAGCCTTAGTGGATATGGTTAAAGCAGTGGCCAGGAACATGGCATTTTCCATCTCAGCTAGAAGGGCTTTGTGGCTCAGATCTTGGTCAGCAGATGCTTCATCTAAGAATAGCCTCTGCTCGTTACCGTTCTATGGAGACATGCTCTTTGGTAAGAACCTGGATGATTGCATTAAGAAAGCAGCAGATGGCAAGAATGCTTTTTTACCTCAGGATCATTGGCCTTAGAGATCTTAAGACCTTCAGATCAATCTTCCTTTCGGGACTTCAAATCCTACAGACCAAGTAGAGAATATGGAAGATCCCAGCCTTGGAGAGGGGGACAGTCTTCAGTCAGGGAAGGAAGATCCAGAGGCTCAGCATTCAGCAGGAACATGAGAGCTTTATGATGGGTTGATCTTCCAGCCTGGAGGGGTAGGAGCACGCCTCCTCCTATTCCAAAAGAGATGGGAGTCTTCTACCAAAGACAAGTGGGTACTGGACATCATCAAAAAGAGGATATCTTCTGGAATTCAGAGATGCCCCACCTCGATGGGGATGGCCTGGAGACAGAGACAAGAGATTGGCTCTTCTGGAGTTTATTTCTTCCCTACAGCAAAAAGGTGTCATTATGGAGGTTCCAAAGGAGGAAAGAACACACGGGTTTTATTCTCACCTATTCCTCACAAAGAAGTCCTCAGGAGCATGGAGACCCATTCTAGATCTTCACACTCTCAACAAGCGATTGAACGTAAGAAGATTCAGAATGGAGTCGCTTCAGTCCATCATCAAAGCAGTCTTTCCAGGGCAATGGCTGATGTTTGTAAATCTGCAAGATGCCTACTTCCATGTTCTGATCACTCAACTGCATCAAAGATATCTGAGATTTGCAGTAGAAGGAGGGCACTTCAAGTTCCGAGCCCTTCCCTTTGGCCTCAGTACGGCTCCTCGCACTTTCTCAAAGATCCTGGTGATCCTGGTCGCAGAATTAAGAAAGAGGGGCATTGCCATTATCTGGACGACATCCAGGTGCTGTCAGAGGACAGGTACACTCTCAAGCAACATTGACAGATTTGCATTTAGTTCCTGCAGGAACACGGCTGGAAGATAAATGGAGAAAAGAGTCATCTTATTCCTTCAGAGTCCATGCTTTATCTAGGAGCCCTGTTCAACACTGCACTGGGGACAGTTCAGCTCTCAAGAGAAGGAGGAGTAAAGCTCATCAGGAAGGTGAGGGAGATACGACAAGTCAAGGTCGCCATGGCAGAGAAAGTCATGAGCCTACTAGGATCCATTTCACCAACCAACCATAGGCTTGACAAGAGGGGCGCAATGGAGAATGAGAGCACTCAAGAGGAATTTTCTTTCCCAATACAGAGGGAAGAATCTACTCCAGCCCATCAGGATTTCCACCCCGGTCCATCTAAGCCTGGCATGGTGGATGAACAAGAAGGCTCTGTTCTCAGGGTTCCCCCTGGGGAACATTCCCTGGATTACTATAACGACAGACGCCAGTCACTGGGGTTGGGGAGCCTACCTTCAGAACAAGGTCACCATGGGGAAGTGGGAGTTTCATGCACACGAGACTCACTCAAAACTTCTGGAACTTCTGGCAGTTTTCAGAGCTCTGAAACACTTTCAGCACTTACTACAGCACAAGTGGGTGAAGGTGAGAATGGACAATGCTACAGTAGTAGCACATATCAATCATCAAGGAGGTACCCGAAGTCACAGTATGGTAAGGTTGATGATTCCCCTGATGTCTTGGTCACAGAAGAACCTTGCGGGGCTAGTGGCGATTCATCTGCCAGGAGTGCAGAATACAGTAGCAGACTTCCTCAGCAGGGTAAGAATAGACCCAGAAGAGTGGAGCCTCTCAGACAAAGTCTTCAAGGATATTGTGAAGAACTGGGGTCTTCCTCAGATAGACATCATGGCCACCAACAACAGCAACAAGAAGCTCCAGGGATTCTTCTCAAGGGGTCACGAAATGCAGGCTCGGGAGAGGGATGCCCTATCATGCAGGTGGGAGTTCACAAAGGGGTATGCATTTCCGTCGTCTCCCCTCATATTTCCTCTACTAAGAAGGATTCGGTAGGAACCAGTTTTCATGATCCTGATTGCCCCATTCTGGCCTCGCTGGCCTTGGTTCCCTCTTCTTATGAGCCTCTGTCAGGAACCTCTGTGGGATCTTCCAGCAGTTCCTTCTCTTCTGCACCAGGGTCCTATCCTACACCCAGACCTAGCATCACTCAACCTGAAGACCTGGAGGTTGAAAGGGAAAGGCTTCTAGAGAAAGGTTTCTCGGCTGCAGTCACAGATACCCTGTTACAGGCTCGGAAGCGGTCCACTTCCTCTACCTACTATAGAATTTGGGACGCTTTTTCTTCCTGGGCCTCTCCTAAGCAGGTTAACATAGAGCATCCTGCTATTAAAGACATCTTGGAGTTTCTACAAAGAGGTCTGGATAAGGGTTTGAGCTACAATACCTTAAAGGTACACATCTCCGCTCTTTCAGCTCTCACTGACCACAAATGGGCCTTTAATCCAGATGTATCCAGGTTTCTTGCTGCAGTCCTCAAGATTAAACCTCTGATCAAGCCATTTGCTCCCCCATGGGATCTACCTCTGGTATTACAAGCCATGAAGTCAGCTCCTTTCGAACCCTTGGAGTCCATCTCTCCTCATCTTATTACCATCAAGACCGTTTTGCTGGTGGCGTTAGCATCAGGGAGAAGGGTTTCGGAGCTCAGTGCCTTATCAGTCAAAGAGCCTTTCATGGTGTTTCACAGAGACAAGGTGATTCTAAGAACCATTCCCGAACTTCGCCCTAAGGTAACCACGGCCTTTCATGTTAATGAAGACATAGTGCTTCTAGCCCTGACGCAAGAAGAACATTCCCAAGAAGGAGGTTCCTCTCCGCTGCATTTGGTAAGATGTTTAAGAATCTATATTGACAGATCTCTTGGCTGGTGTTCGTCAGATCAGCTATTCATCATCCCGAATGGGGCTAGGAAAGGTCGCCAAGCTTCTAAAGAGGCTGTGAGCAGATGGATTGTCCCCACTATCATTCAGGCTTACCGTACCAGTGGGGTTCCGGTACCTAGCGGTCTAAAGGCTCACTCGACCAGGCCCCTTTCCTCCTCTTGGGCAGCCGCAGCGAGAGTATCTCCAGAGCTTATCTGCAGAGCAGCTACATGGTCTTCGGTGAACACCTTTATTCGACATTATCAAATAGATGGCAGAGCTGGTCAATGGGACAAGTTTGGTAAAAGTGTCCTTTCCGCATCCAACTAATGTCTTTCTTTTTGTATGATTTCACTTATAGATGTGCAAATACACTTTACGCATTACGAAATATTTTGAGTCTGTATATTCTTTTCCCTCCCTTGGTTTTGCTTGGGTATTACCCATTGTTGTGCTGCCATGGATATGGCCAGGAAAGAGGAAAATGTATTCATACTTACTGTAATTTTCTTTTCCTGGTCATAGGCCATGGCAGCACAAAGATCGCGCCCAGGGATTTTTGCTGGAATACAAGACTGAGGGTAGGAGGGGGTACTTATACCCTTGTTTTAATTAGTTCCTGTATAACTAGGGATGGGGAGGAGCTACCCATTGTTGTGCTGCCATGGCCTATGACCAGGAAAAGAAAATTACAGTAAGTATTAATACATTTTCCTCTCTCTATATATATATATATAAACACACACATACATACACACATATTTTATATAATAAAAAGAGATACTGGTATATAAGCGCTAAATAGACAATGAACGAGGGGAGAATTTTTTTTTTTTGAAAACTCCTCCCCACCACCTTGTGATTATGTGTACCCTATATAGAGGGTTTTAAAAGGTAATCCAGCTGTTGCACACCTGTGTACTACCCAAATTACACACACACAGATATAGAAACTAAAATATATACTTATACTGGTGGAGCGCTTGTAAATTTAGGGACCCCAATAGTCTTGAGATCACTCTGGCTCAGAATCACATGAAACAATAAATACTCATACAACTGCACTCTGACCAAGTTGCAGTGAAGACAAGAAAAACAGAATAAAATAAAACAATAAAATGAAATGAGCCTCTTACGAAAGAAAAGTAGTGAGTATTTGCAGTATAGTGCTGCTACTCACACACGCCTTTGGTTCTCATAGGAACACCCAGCAGACAATACAGCCGGTTGCAGTACCCGAAATCCTCCATGGATAGTTGTTCAGCTGGCTCTTGCAGTATGCCGGGTCTGTTGTAGGTTTTTTGCTAGAGTGTCCAAACCAAGGCTGCTATGAATCTCGCGGGTTCCGAGGAAACTCTGCCCACTCGAAGTAGCGTCACCGCGTAGCTGTTGTTGCTACGTCACCGCGTAGCTGTCGTTGTTACGTCACCACGTCTACGCGTTTCGCTGATAGGCTTTATCAGGACGTCAGTGGTGATGACCTCACTCCGTGCATGTTCACTTAACGTCTTGTCTGTTATGCTGAAGTTTAGTTTTACTAGCCCTGTATTTAAATGTTTTAATGACCTACATGAATACCTCTATTTCTCCTCTCATCAAACTATACTTTTTTCCCCTCACTGTATCTTCTAAACACCTCTCTTATTTGGTACCCTTAAATATGGCAATCCCACAAGGGTACCAATTTAGGGAATTATCTACTGCAAGGTGCAGCCATGGCACAGACCGGAATTAAATTTGTCTGAATTAAATTCCAAAACAAAAATTATGTCAGAATTGTATCCGAAAATGAATCAACAAACAAACGAAATTCAGTTCATGCAAAACAAAATTTAGTTTTTTTGTCTGATTACATTTGAAAATTTCAGTGACTCCCAAGTCTAATATGTATGTGGAAGAATATGGCATGTTTTATGTATGGTTGTAGCAGATGCTTTGTGAGCTTGTATTTATGTGTATGTACTGTATGTTGAATAAACAACATAAATGGAAAAAGGAAAATTTTAAAAAGACAAAATAGATTTTACACCATCAAGTGATTAACCCCTTAAGGACGGGGGACATGCTACGCCGTCCTTAGGGAACTGTCTCTAAACGCTGGAAGGCGGTGTGGTGTATTACCAAATTCTATAAATTATTATGTACGCATACACATATAAACTCTGGTCCGTCTACTTTAACAAATATTTATTCAGAGACAAAACAACAACAACATACAAATAATGACACACAATCTAACTAACTATACCACCAACAACAGCAACAACAACCTAACTAACAATAACAACTACATCTTATAAAATCCCACTCACAGTTCACCATGATAGAAATAAGGCCATGTCTGCTTAAAGGACTGCTCAGTAGCACAGCCAAGAAGGAACAGAGAGGAATGGAGAAAGGGGAAGTGGTTATCTCTTTCCTGACTTGTAAAGGTATTGAATTACCAATTAACATTTCAAAAGGGTAAAGCTTATCCCACTGTAAGAAAAGCAAACATGAGCTTGGTCACATGACCCCTGGTCACCATATTAGTTTGATGACAGAATGTCACCACATTCCCTCACTTTTTCTTCTCTTATGTTGAGCACATTTAAAAATAATAATTTATCCCTTCTATCTAAACTATGAGATCTGAAGTAGGAAAGGGGAGCACAGGAATTATAGTGAGTGATATAAGCAGGGTGAAAGAAAACAGTCAAATAGGGGTTGCATCACGCCACATTCCCCCACTTTTTCTTCTTTTATGTTGCTCCGTTATCTAGTTATCCCTCTAGTACAGGAAAACCTAGTGGGAGCAAAAACCTGATATACAGGAGAAATTCAACCCACCGTCCCTCCGGAATTGTTCCCTCAGCGACATAAGTTCTCCTGTACTTTCCTATGGCTGTCAATTCACATGTTATACAAAGTGTCACAAAAAAACAGAACTTATAGAATGTAGGTGAGAGTGTGTGTGTGCAATGTAAAACTTTATTGAAGAATGTGTGTGAGAGAGAGAGAGAGAAACAAAAAAGAAACAAACAAAAAAAATATCCCCCTTTTCAAGTTTCTTCCTCATCTATTTCATTGCCACACAAAAGTATACTAGCGGCAAAGTTTGTAGGACTGGATGTGGTATTTGCAGAATTCCATACTTTCAATCCAGTTCCGACTCCTCCCAGTAGAGCTGTAAATTGTCCCATTTTTCCTGACACCCTGCTTTGCCTAAAACACTGTCGCCGTTGTTCCGGACACCTTGGAGGAATAGAAGGATTATTAAAATATAGACTGTAAACTTTTCCCTTATTTGGAGTATCTTCTGGCCGTATTGCCTGTCTCCCATCCCTACTGTGATACAGCGTATACTTATCCATCCTGTAACAAGGATCCACTACGATCTTCTGTTGACACACATCATCATCCTAATACAGCTTTGCCTTGCTCTGTGGGAACACTAGATCTCATCATTAGAAAGGAATAGCTAAATGGGAGACTGGAAGACTGAGAGAAAGAACAAAACAAAAGAAAAACAGACATACATACGGATGTAGAGAGCAACACAAAATTATGAGTGTTATTGATTGCTGGGACCCCCCAATTGGTCAATCTTTTCCTCCTCTCTCAACTGTTCCCTCAGCGCTTTCACGTCTGCCTCCAATCTTTCAGTCTGTCTCTTTAGGTCCCAGTAGTCTCTATTCCCTTCTTTATTCCTCCAATTATCCCAATTCCGTCTATTGGTCTGATGATCATCCCATCTATGGTTCCTTCTCCAATTATTCTCCCAATAACTGTTCCTGTTGTTTCTCTGTTTTTCTCCCCAATTGTGATTTTCCCAGTTAATATCTGTCCTTTTTAGCCTCTCCCAGGTATTTTTATTATTCCAATAATTATTGATTACCTTAGGCCCCTCCCATCTATTCCTCCAGTTATCTCCCATTACATTACTTCCTTTAGAACTGTCCCTATTCCTATGGTCCCTCTGTGGATCTCTCCATCTTTTGTCAAAGTCCTGTTTTGGTCTCCAGTTCTCATTATCCCTCTTGCTCTGGGGTACATCCCACCTCTGGCTTCTCCATTTACCATCTAAATCTCTACCAGAGTCAACCTTGAATGTTCTTGTGGATGAAACAGGGAAGGCCTGTTCTGAGAAAGGATGCTTGATCCACCAATTGTCCGCTCTAGTTAGTACCATTTCTAAGTCTGCTGGTGTTGGATCAAAAAGCCTGACAAATTCTTGACACTCCCAGGGAAGGGCTTCCATTACTTTAGTAATATGTTGTGGTGAGCCCAAGACCAGAGGCTGTTGAGGTTGGCGTAGTGTATACCAGAACAATATCCTTTGAGCTACCTCTCTAGGACCATCTGCTGGCCTCATCGTAATATTTGCTATTTCTTTCTCTATGCTGAGTAGATAGAAATTAGTTTCAGCAATTCTTCCTGCCTGATCAGACACACTGTTATTAAATCCACATAGTCTGCTAGCCAAAGGACCCATAGCATATTCTAAAAGTTCTGTCCATTCCTCTAAGTTTAAACCTCCTTTTTTAGCTCTATTTGCTCCCCTCATAAACCAGTGTGTAAAAGTATTAAAGTTGTTATTTGGCATACTTCCCCACCATTTCTGGAAATTTTCTTTGTCTGTGATTGACATAGTGCTTGTCTGTCTAGAGAAACTAGTAGGCATTTCTCTTGCATTAAAGTGTTCAGTTATTATTAAAGGGGCTTGTGGGACACAGTTAACAACCGGCGCATTTCCCTTGTGTTTGGTTCTGAGCACTGGTTCTGTACCTTTACATATAAAATGAGACTGACCTGGGCATACTTTAGGAATCTCCTTATCCCATTTATTTATGTTTTCTTTAGTTTTCATTTTATATTCCATAACTAGGTTTTGGAGTTCAGTGATCTTAGCACTATATTCATCTCTCTGTTGTTCTGTTTCCTTTAATTCCTTCTCCAACCCCTCGATCATTTTGTTTGTTCTTAGGGCAGCTATTTTAAAACAATCTCTTTCATCAAGAGCATCTTCCATTTTATTAGTGGTTACTAAATTAGCTTGCTGCAATTCGAGTACCATGCTTGCCAAACCCCCTATTGCAGCAACAACCGCTTGTGCCACCAAGCTTTTCCTTTTCTTAATATGGCACTTTTTATTAGTAACAATCTGTGTCAAAACATCCATGAAACATTCATATTTTCCACAATTGGGGCCTGCTGGTTCTGGAAGCTCATATGGTCCATCATGTTTGTCAATGTCATTCTTAAAGTACTCTAGTACTTCTGCAGAAAAATACTTAGTACCTAGATATGCCATTTTAAAACCGAGCTCTCCCTAGGTCTTTAATCGAAATAGACCAGCAGACTAAGGAAAAAACAACAACACGCTTTTAACAATGGGATTAATTTAAAAAAACTGAAACTGGCTCCAAAGAGATTGAACCATTTGAGAAACTTAATCACATTAACCTATTCAAACAAACTCTTGTCTTTTAAGAAAAAAACTTCACAGTCTCAATACAACAAATGCCCACAGGCAGCAAAACACAAAACCACCCTTCTGTCTTTGTTTAAGTGCAGTATGGGGGGTCTACAAATAAACAGAATGATTTAAAGGAAGGTATGGGAACTGGAAAATACCTGACTGTAACTTCAGCACAATAATTCCCAACCATATAACAATCTAACATAGGCACCTTTACCTCAAATACAAACTGTTCATTTTCTATTAAACACACTCCAGTGTAAAAATGTAGCCTGGCTAAACAATAGCCACCACACTGTATTAGCCCCAATACCTTTATCATGTAAACACAATGCTCCTACCCAGAATTCAATGGTTCAAACAGACAAAAGATAATCCCCCCAAAAAACAGTTTGCTATTTAAACTTAGAATGCAGGGAAGCCACAAAATGTATAAAATGTAACATCTAAAAACAATTACAATATATTCAGTTTAGTTCTAGTTAGTTGCAACAGGAAAGAGACAATACAGCACATGGGCTATTAAAAATGGCCGAAACATCAATAGTACCAATGCAGTGCAACTATTCAATCTTTCCCTTTAATCACCAATACTTTAAAAATACTAGGCCTGAGCTATGGTAGTCAAAACACAACAAACTCAGGTATTTGAAACACACAAAAAAACTAATATATTCAAAATTGAGGCCTGATGCCCAAGCTTGTAAATTAAAATGGAGGCCCAAACTAGACTCCACACACAATCAGTCCCTGATTTCCCATGCAGAGGATAATTAAACAAAGTACTTTTTTCTTTTTTCTCCCCCAAAAAATAAATCTGACTATCTATTACTGTGTTATTACCACATAAATAACCTTTGTAGAAGTCTAAAATTCGTGGTCGCCAAATGTGGTGTATTACCAAATTAATATATATACTACACAAGGTTCGTCTACATTAAAAGGTATTTATTAAAAGGCAACAACACAATACTATAAATGTATCACAAACACACAGCCCAGACCCACGGAGCAACAACCCTTTTTAAATCTATCTATGTATATAGTAACCCCTTACACACACGCTTGATCTCACCCACGGTTAGGCCTTCACATCTAGTAATGGCTCACTGCTGCAAGTTCAACATCACATCCACCAAGGAAGAAAAGGAAGCAACAGAGTGTAACATGGTCCACCATGCTAGCCCATGGCGTCTGCACATCTGCTCTGTAGCACAGCCAAGAAGGAACAGAGAGGAATGGAGAAAGGGGGAAGTGGTTATCTCTTTCCTGACTTGTAAAGGTATTGAATTACCAATTAACATTTCAAAAGGGTAAAGCTTATCCCACTGTAAGAAAAGCAAACATGAGCTTGGTCACATGACCCCTGGTCACCATATTAGTTTGATGACAGAATGTCACCACAGGCGGTATAGCACGTTCCCGCCGTCCAGGGTACTTACCCGGTCGCCGACGATCCCACGCATGTGAACGCAGTGCGGGGACTCACCTGGAAGCCCAGGGAATCCCCCTCCGTCCTCTTCGGCCCCCTCTTCAGTGATCCCTGATCACATGGACAGGGGAGTGCCTGTAATGACACGTACTCCCCCTGCTGTTATGGGCAAATGCAAATATTACAAGTTTTAGAATGAAATGTTGTATTTCTTAAACTGTGTACTTTGTCTTTAAGAGATATTGCAAAATGACAAGGTGTTAGAAATGGAACATTTTGTTTTTCATAGATGTTTCTTTAAGCAATAACCTCTTACCTACCTTCAGTGCATATTATGTTTAAGCCATTTTGTCCCAGACGAATTACAATAACAATAATGCATAAACAAGCTTTAAGGCTATGCTACGACTCTTTCAGTACACAATATACTGTGGTAACCCTAAGTAGATAAAGATGTTCAGACTTTAAGATGCCATCTTGAACTAAGTCAGGAAAATTTCCATGACGTATACATGGCTCACAGTGGATACTGTGCCAGTTCACAGTGCCACTCATATCTGGTGTCATAATAGCTTGCATTTAAAAACAAAAAACTTTTTTCACTGTTATAGATTGAATAGCAGTTAGTTGTCTCAAAGCGGGTGTGTCAGCCCTACAGCGTGTACTCTGCCAGTTCACAGTGCCACTCTTATCTGGTGTCACAATAGCGTGCATTTAAAAACCAAAAAACTTTTTTCACTGTTATAGATTGAACAGCAGTTAGTTGTCTGCAAGCGTCTGTGTGTCAGGCTCACAGTGGATACTGTGCCCAGTGCCACCACTCACTCACTGGTGTCACAATAGCTTGCATTTAAAACAAAAAACTTTTTTCACTGTTATATTTTGAATAGCAGTTAGTTGTCTCAAAGCGGGTGTGTCAGGCTCACAGTGGATACTGTGCCCAGTGCCACCACTCACTCACTGGTGTCACAATAGCTGCCCAGTGCCACCACTCACTCACTGGTGTCACAATAGCGTGCATTTAAAAACCAAAAAACTTTTTTCACTGTTATAGATTGAATAGCAGTTAGTTGTCTCAAAGTGGGTGTGTCAGGCTCACAGTGGATACTGTGCCCAGTGCCACCACTCACTCACTGGTGTCACAATAGCTTGCATTTAAAACCAAAAAACTTTTTTCACTGTTATATTTTGAATAGCAGTTAGTTGTCTCAAAGCAGGTGTGTCAGGCTCACAGTGGATACTGTGCCCAGTGCCACCACTCACTCACTGGTGTCACAATAGCTGCCCAGTGCCACCACTCACTCACTGGTGTCACAATAGCGTGCATTTAAAAACCAAAAAACTTTTTTCACTGTTGTAGATTGAAAGGTCCTAAAATGAATAAAGTAAAAGAAGTGTTACTTTTATATATATGAACTATGGTAACCCTAAAATGGAGACACCTAAGGTATAAATAGGTGTACTTTTAAATGTTGAGAGAGGAGGGACTTGGAGACAGACGCTGCTCCATCTTAAAATTACAGAGTGGCTGACATGATGACATGTTCAGGAGGGTATGTTAACCTATTAATGATATTTGCAAGCATTTAGTTTAATCTTATAAACTGCTATAAATTGTTGCAATGGATTTTATATGTCTATATCTATATTTTTATATAATAAATATCTAAAAGACAACATTGCTTCCAAGACAATCCTTGTTTTATATTGTATTCTCAATTATTTATATATGTCAAATAGAGGATCTCTTACACTAACTATATAAAATTGGCTAAGATATCTGTATGGTTAGCCCTGCTAAGTTCTATGCTTTAAGACGTTATAGTGGGAAATAAGGGAACCAGCCACGGTTACACTGCTGCCTGAAAAAAAAAAAAAAATACAGTTTAAAACAGGGTAAAATTAAATAATATATACATAAATCATATATATATATTTATTAAGTACACATATACATACATACACATAAATACACATACACTGTCTACGTGTATTTTAATATTAATATATATAAGTATATATATATATATATATATATATATATTAATATCAGAGTACACGTAGAATTATATTGATTAAATATATATATTTTTATATATATATTTATATATAATATAAAATAAATAAATATGTAAATACATAAAAAAATAAAATTAAAATAATAATACAAAATAAATAAATAATTTCGTTCTAACTATTTTAAAATTAATATATATATATTGATATCAAAATACACGTAGAACAAAATAATATATATATATCTATATACATAAGTATATTCGTATATATATCACTATATATATATATATATATATACACATATATATATATAAATAAAAATAATTTTAAACAATTATATATATATATATATATATATATATATATATATACACACACATGTATATATATATAATAATTCTACATATATATTTATGTAACTTTCCAAGACACCATAAAACCTGTACATGGGGGGTACTGTTTTACTCCAAAGACTTCGCTGAACACAAATATTAGTGTTTCAAAACAGTAATATATATTACAACGATAATATTGTCAGTACAATTGAATTTTTTTGCATTTTTCACACACAAATGGCACTTACATGGACGATATAATTGTTGTGATACATTTTACTGTTTTGAAACACTAATATTTGTGTTCAGCGAAGTCTCCTGAGTATAACAGTACCCCCCCATGTACAGGTTTTATTGTGTTTTCAAAACATTAGATTGCCTGCAGGGAGCTCTAGATCTAACCTGAACAACTACATTAAGCTGTAGTTGTTCAGGTGACTATAATGTCCCTTTAAGGTAAAGCTGACTCTGCAGACTGTGCAAGTGCTCTTACTTCGGTTTCTCTAACACTGTGGCGTGTCCCCTTTCTACTACACTCGCTACATCCACCGTTTCTCTATGCCAGACTTTATACCAGAAGCTTCTGCCTGATAGTCAGACAGTAAAGTGAGGAGTGGATACGTAAGTGCTTCTTTTTTACCATTAAAAAATAATTCACTGCTTGCAGTATTTATTTTTTAAGTTCTATTATATCTAAACATATTGTGCTTTTTAACATTCAGGACTAATTAGTAAATATATTTTGATAAAGTTTTCTTTTGTTGCACTTGGTGTAAAAATTCTTAAACGTGAAACTGACAAAAAAAGTGTTTTTTACATTTTTTTTCCACATTTTAAAAATATTTTATTCTATTTAGTATTGTTATGTATACATGTAGGCTATCAAGAAAGAAGAAAAAGAAAGTCCTATTTCTGTAATTATATGTAATATGTATGGGTGGACTTTGGAGGAAATTGTCACAGAATGAACATAAGGCAAAAGTGCAAAAAAGGCCTTCGTCATAAATGTTTGCATCTCAAAAAAGCCTTGTTTCTAAAGGGGTTAAGCCAGCGGTTCCTAAACTGTCAGGCACACAGGGGCGCCGCAAGATATTTTCCCGGTGCTATTATCATAGCACCAGTAACTGTGCCTCCCTCTCCCCTAACGGCTCTGCAGGACCAGAGGGAAGATCAGAGATATTCCTCATCGGCCCCCTAGCAGTGTAATGCTGGTAGCCGGCAGGGGAGGCAGCCCCGCCGGGTTCTCCTCTCGTGAGCTCAGAGTGTTGCCGCGGTTACCATGTGAATGTGAATCTCGCGAGAGTGAACTCTAGCCTCTCACCACTGGGACCACCAGGGCTTTTCCACCGGACCACTGTCCCCACTCCCAGGAAAAAGTAAGAAGGGGGGAGGATTTGAAAATGATTGTGTTTTTTTTTTTTTTAAATAAAAAAAAATAAAAATATATATTTATTAATCTTCCCTCCCATCCCCACATAACTCCCCCCCATACGCACATACTGCCCCCCCACACGCACTCTTCTCCCCCACACACACTGTACTCCTCACACAAAGTGCCCCCTCACACACTGCCCCCCTGCACACACTGCACCACATACACACTGCACCCCCCCACACACACTGCCCTGCATACATACACACACACACACTGTACCCCTCACACACTCTGCTCCCCCCACACACTGTACCTCTCACATAAACTACCCCTCACACCCTCTGCACCCCCACACACTGTACCTCTCACACAAACTACCCCTCACACAAACTTCCCCCCCACACTGTACCCATCACGCACACACTGCACAACATGCACACTGCACCCCAATACCTGCACACTGTACCCCAATACACATACACTGCATCACGCACACACTGCCCCACACACTATGCACAACTCTCACACACACTTTACCCCCCCACACACACATTACATCCATCACAAACACAATGCGTCCCCATACACACACACACACTGCACCCCCCCACACACACACATACACACTTCACCCCTCACACACACAACTGTCCATTTCCCTTACTACTGCCCTTATCCTGGCAGATCCTAGGTAAGTTGTCAAACAGTTTGACTACTTATCCTGGGAGGGCACCATGGCACTCCTGACACCATAACCACTTCAGAGTGCCGTAGTGGTTATTGTGCCTTGTTTGTTTCTTTAAGTAATCTACCAGTGCCCCTCCCAAGATTAGGTTCTGGATCCGCCCCTGACCGGAAAACATTTCTGCTGAACAGGGGTCCAGTATATTATTTATTTATTTATAAAATATTTTACCAGGAAAGATACATTGAGATTTCTGTTGTTTTTAAGTATGTCCTGGGTCCACAAAACATTGCATTGTTACAATAGGATACAATATTACAAAAATACAATATACAAGCTATATATATATATATATATATATATATATGTATATACATGCATACACATACACACATATATAAATTTAATACATAACAGGTAATAAATATATACAACCATGACAGGTGCATTCTGTGCTGAGGTATATTGCCATAGAGCTCTTAAAAGATTTTAGATTGGATGAAGATTTGACTGTGTCCCTGAGGTTATTCCATAATTGCGGTGCTCTGTAGGAAAAGTACATATATACTACCTAGAAATTTTTTTGACTTGGGGCGCCTTGGAAAAATATTGAAATATAAAGGGTGCCTTGAACCTAAAAAGTTTGGGAAACAACTGGGTTAAGCTAATTATACAACTTACGTTCTCTTTTTGTAATATTCTAGCACCCTAATTAAGATTGTTAGATAGCCAGTTTAAATGTGGGGCTCAACACAATTATTCTGTTATTTTGTCTTATTTGTCAGATTGAACAATGAAGCTCCTCGGAAGACCGCACCATGAGGGAAGAATAGCAAGTACCTACATGTGGAAAATAAACAAGCGCAATCATATATGAAATAAAAGTGATATATGATATGTAAATTAATGTTGTCCGCATACCTTTTTTTTAAATCACATGCTATTAATGGAAATTATATGAACTAGTCATTGAATAGGCTGAACATAGAACTGCTGTAGCCTATCACAGAATGTTCTGTAATATATAATCCTCACAATTCTCCTGCCAATATGTCTAACATGCAAGTTTGCTTAGAGTTCTAAAATGTGAAGCACCCAGATTGAAATGACAACGCAAATATGGTAAAATTATTTAGCTTAAAAACATAAATCAATTCAGCAAAAAACATTAATTTTTACACATATGTTCATTACATATTTCTATATTATGCAATATATAACAGCTGCAATGCATCATCAGAACAGGTTGACAGTACATTCAAAATAAACAGAGGGCAGCTTATAACGGAAATTATTTTTATTTATTTATTTGAAAAATTTAGCAATAAGGCATAATGGTAATTTCAATGTGGAAGGAATTGTCCTTTTTGGCAACCTGAAGGGTAGATTTTAACATTACTATTATTCGATGCAAATAGAAAATACACATGTGGTAGAGAAAGTCGCTCTCACTCTTATTTAAGGCTATGAAGAATAACCAAATTGAATGGAGGGATATAATTACGCTGGCAGGTGTTTAACTCCTTCTTTTACCCTTACATCTCTATATATGATGTCCAGTCCCCTTTCCTATTTTCCAGTGCCAGCAAGTCCCAAAGTCTCAATCATCATGCAGTTCCATTTAAAATTGATTGTGTGTTTTACCAATTAGTAAACATCAAGTTTCTGACATATTGAAATTTAAAGGGATGGCTTTGACAATCTGTAAATAGGACTGCCTGACATTTCTTTGTTTTCTCATACTTGAACACTGATGAGGTTATTCAATAAACACAGAATTTTGTCCAGATGTACAGAATCTAGTGAAAATGACGAATCCTGATTGCTATGGCAATTCCCATATTTACTAAAGCCAATTTTGGGCAGAATTAAGGTGGTCCGAACAAATCTGAAATCTTAAGGCATTTGGAGGACCACTAATGCAGTGGCATATTTGAGCTTGTTGGCCTCTGTGATGGTGTTGGTTGGGGTTGTGGACAGTGCCTTGCTAACCTCTGCTAGTAGATAATATGTACTATTTCTTTCAATTGGTATCCAGTTATAGGCTCAGAGTGTCAGATGCAAAACCATCTGCAATGCTACCAGCAGCATTTGCAGACAATTTGACCCTCCTTTAGTATGTGTTTCAAATTTAGAAAAAAAATCCATGTCTGGTATTCTATAATAATATATATCATATATATCACATGTAAACCAAAACACTTATATAAATGACGAAGTGATTAATCTGGGTTAGGGATTGCAGCCACTAAGTGCAATATTCAAAAGGTTGAGCATATACAGATGTATACAGGAATTTTAGTTAGCCACGGGAGTCTCAGGAAGAAAAAACTGATAATGTGTAATATTGCCAATCAAAATAAATACATATAAAATACATAGGAAAGTTAACTCACACATTAAGGAGCTACCAAGAGTTCAGCTGTCATCAGAGTGGACAGTACAATCCCTGTCTAAGGATATATAGTGCTCAGTGCTGGTGAGTGGTCTCCACTTCTAGTTGCAGTATATGTGAATACACAAAGAACTTTCTCCATAAGTACTATCTCCAACATATTATGAAGAAATAGACTTTATTAAATAAAGCAATTAGATGAAAACAATAACAAAGAACAAATTAGTGAAACACAGAACACACGTAACGCGTTTCACCTCGATTTTATCAGAAGTGCATTTTGTCCGTTAAGTGTCTAGGAATATATAGGCAGTCCAATGTTGATTGATATGATCCTTGTGGTCTTCATTAATGTCTTACTGTAGGCCTTCTGGTTTTGGCATCGCCTGGTAGTGACATCATGGGCACTTCCCATATTACAAATTGGTGATTCCTTTGCGGATTTCCCTTAGTTCAGCCAGTGTCACATGGAAGTGTTTGATATAAAGGTAATAAAGAGGAGAATTAGGAGATTGTTTTCCAAAGGGGCAATTTGAGAAGTGGAAATAAATGCTCCAGGGTTTGTGAGCCTTATTTTCATCTTGGTAAAGATAGATGAATTGTTTAAACTAATCTCTGCTCTCTACATTTTTGGATGTTAAGCCTTTTAAGATGGGAGTTTATTTTTTGAGATATACTTAAATTGCTATAAATTAATCCCAACAGTTTCTTCTCGAGTTTATCACGTAGAATGGCAATGACAATATATTTGCCTTTCATTAAGTCTTTCTTCCATATTAGTGTGTTTAATAAAACTCATAAAATCAGTGATGATTCTTTTGAGAAGCCAAATAATTTAATTAATTATTGTCATGTTTATGAGTAAGTACTCAGTATGGTGGATGCAAGAGGAAACATAACTAGATACAATAGAGAGTCTATAGGGACGCAAGAGGAAACATAACTAGATGCAATAGAGAGTCTATAGGGCACAGGGCAAAAAGTCTTATGCATATAGTAAGCAGCGTTAATTTTAAGGCAAGATTAGTCCAAAGCATGAAATTGGTTCACCCAGCAATTTTGGTTCTGGATATCCAGTTCACTCCCTGGCTCCCCTCCTCTTTTCCTCAATCCATTTCCTCTCTCAGGTCACTACCTCTTATCATTTGTTCTTGAGAGCCCCTTTACCAACCCATCAGTCTAACAACCTTAGAAGGAGGAACAGGGCCGGCGCTTCCTATAGGTGACTTAAGCAGTCGCCTAGGGCACCGGCCCCTCAAATGCTGCAGCTGCCGTCTCTAGACATCTTTATTAGAACAAGTGTTCCACTTGTTCTAATAAATGTGGCTGAAGAAATTGGAGTATACTAATACTGGTATTTATTAACTTCTGGTCTTGTGCTTGCCCTTGGTTCAGGTAAGCACCCTGTCTTATGCGAATTGAGTGTGGTTCCTTTTCCATTTTTGCTATTGTGCTGTCATTAAGGCATGTCTTCAACTGCTCTCTTTCTTCTGGCATTGTGCCTGCTCCCCTTAAACATGCTACTGTTGTAACCATCCTAAAAAAGCCATCTCATGACCCATCTTCCTTTTCTAACTATTGTCACATATACCTGCTCCCTTTTTCCTCAAAGCTTCTAGAAAGACTTGTCTTTAGCCATTTAGCTTTCTTCCTCAATCCCAACTCTCTCATAGACTCTCTTCAATCTAGCTTCTAGAAAGACTTGTCTTTTGCCATTTAGATTTCTTCCTCAATCCCAACACTCTCCTAGACTATCTTCAGTCTAGCTTCTGCCCCCTCCACTCCACTGAAACCACTCTTATTAATGGATAAATCCAAAGGCCACTACTCTATTCTAATTCTTCTTGACCTCTCTGCTGCCTTTAAAACTGTTGACCATGTCCTCCTTCTAAAAACTCTTCAATCACTTTGTCTCTGTGAATCTGTCATTTTTTTAGCATTCATTTATTATTATTTTTCTCTCTGGTGGTCCAGTGGCACTGTGCAGGCTGCCAGGTGCTGTCTAGTGAAAACATTGTGAAAACATTGGCCAGCCAACATGATCTTCAGCTTCGGCAGCTTCTCTCTACAAAACTCGTGAGCCTGGTCTGCGTGTTGTACGGAGAATTGCCATGGTAACCCGTGGCAACTCTCTGATGGCCCGGGGCTTGCGAAAGTTGGAGAGAGCTTCTGGAAGCTGACAATCACATGTGCTGGGCCTCCTCTTCACTATACTGGCTGCTAAGGGCCCGCAAGGGCAGTGGTAGAACTAACGTAGATAACTTTTTTGGGGGACTCCCTCTAGAGCACAATGGTGGCCAAAATGTAAATCCCCATCTGTTGTACAAGTCCCACAGTGCTTTGCCAACTGGGGATCTACAATTTTCCCATCCATGCAGGGTTGTATGTAGCACTGAGAAGCATGTCTGTGTGTGAATGTTGGGATTTGAATGCAGTCGTGCATTTGTGTGTAGAGTATACACTGACACACACACTGACAAACATGCAAGTACATAGACAATCTGACACACACTGACATACATGCAAGTACACAGATACACAGATACACACACTGACACATACACACGCTGATATACAGATACACACTGATACATACACATTGACACACAGATACACACACTTATACACAGATACACAGTGATGTATACACACACAGATACACACTGACACATACACACACACAGATACACACACTGATTTATACACACACATACACACTGAAACATACACACAGTGATACACAGACACACAGTGATACATACACACAGATACACACACACACACTGACACATGTTATTACTTGTATATTAGCAACCACCCCCTGTCGGGAGGGTGACTTGCCTGGAGTGGTGGTCCTGCTGCTGTCTGTGGAGTGTGGGAGTCTAGAGCAGCTCACTCCTTTATCTCCCCGACATTGCTGCCCCCCAGGACTGCAGGGCCCGTGAATACCATTATGGTTTTCACCCCCTGATGGCGGTCTGTCTATAGGTGTCAATTCAAAATACTAACTCTTACATATAAAGCTCTAAACAACTCTAGCCCCTATTATAGTTCTTCACTAATTCATAGCTATACCACACATTGGTCTCTCCACTCTGCCGGTGATCTTCTCATGTCTACAGCTCGCATCCTTGCTGCTAACTCATGCTTGCAAGACTTCTCGCGGGCGTCTCCTTTACTTTGAAACAGCCTGCCTACCCCCATCAGACTCTCTTCTAGTCGTCAATTATTTAAGAAGTCCCTCAAAACTCATCTCTTCTGAAAAGTTTATGGTCTCCCAGAATAACTTCTATTTCACAAACCTGTCTCTTGCTCTCTTCTGAAGGGCCACACTCCACTCTCACCTCCAGTTCTGCTACTTTCCCACCTTGTCATTTTGTTGCTATCCCTCTCCTTCCTAATGTGTTTTTAGACCTCACCTCTTCTAGACTGTAAGCTTATTTGAGCAGGATCCTCCTCAACCTATATTTATTGTTAAATTTCCTCCTTTTATAATATTGTAAAGCAATGCGGAATAAGTGGACGCTATATATATATATATATATATATATATATATATATATATATGCCAAAAATAATAATATTAATAACATTATGAAACATGTTATTATAGATCATGGCTTCATTTGATTGTTTTGTGCACTAATTTTAATATTGTTTTTGTAAGACTTCATATTTGCCTGCTTTCATTAATACAAACTTGACTTTCTTTTACAAAACAAATTAATGAATTCTTACTTGTTAGAGATCTTTATTACCCCTTGT